TGAACGGTTTCGAGCGTCCAGATATTTATCAGCAAACTCAGGCTTCATAATCAACGATTTTTGGGTTTAGATCGCGTTTATTTATAAATGTGTCGTAACCCTCCACCACCCGACACGGCCAATCAGTAAAAAATGTGTCACGTTGACAAAGACAAATAGTTCACTGCTTTAGCCCACCGGTGTGTTGAAGCAACAACATTCACAATTTGAGTACGACGTTTCGCTGGTAATTACAACCAGCATCATCGGGCAATTCGCCAGAATGGTGAGGCTCTCCTGTGTCTCCCGTTCTTATATAGAGCAGCAGCAGGATGACGTCATCATTAACTCATTAACTCATCAGGTGCAAAGATTCAAGGGGGGAGTGATTGTAATTATATACTAGATTAGTAATCAGGCTATTGTTACGATGCGAGTTGTAGATTAGTAATCATTTGGAATGTGTTTTATTGTGATTATGCTACATTAGTAATCTGTTAGTGGTTGTTTCCCTTATAAGTAATTGTAATGTATCTTATTTAATAATACGCTTCCAGGCCGCACTAAGCCTGTAGCTGTCTGAGCGATTAAAGTTATTTCTGTTTCTCTCAATTTCAATCGATTCTCTAATTAGTCTTTGCCAGTAGTAACTAGTTTTACACATCACTTCCACGTTGTCAAAATCAATTGAGTGTCCCTGTTGGCATGCATGTTCTGCTACTGCCGACAGTTGTGTTTGTGATAGTTTAATATTTCTCTGGTGTTCTTTAAGTCTTACACTAACGTTACGCCCTGTCTGTCCAATATAGCATCTGCCACATACACAATTAATCCGATATACACCTTCTGTTGATAATTTAGGTAATTCGTCTTTAGTGCACGTTACTAGTTGTTGAATTTTGTGTACTGTACCCAAAATTCAACAACTAGTAACGTGCACTAAAGACGAATTACCTAAATTATCAACAGAAGGTGTATATCGGATTAATTGTGTATGTGGCAGATGCTATATTGGACAGACAGGGCGTAACGTTAGTGTAAGACTTAAAGAACACCAGAGAAATATTAAACTATCACAAACACAACTGTCGGCAGTAGCAGAACATGCATGCCAACAGGGACACTCAATTGATTTTGACAACGTGGAAGTGATGTGTAAAACTAGTTACTACTGGCAAAGACTAATTAGAGAATCGATTGAAATTGAGAGAAACAGAAATAACTTTAATCGCTCAGACAGCTACAGGCTTAGTGCGGCCTGGAAGCGTATTATTAAATAAGATACATTACAATTACTTATAAGGGAAACAACCACTAACAGATTACTAATGTAGCATAATCACAATAAAACACATTCCAAATGATTACTAATCTACAACTCGCATCGTAACAATAGCCTGATTACTAATCTAGTATATAATTACAATCACTCCCCCCTTGAATCTTTGCACCTGATGAGTTAATGAGTTAATGATGACGTCATCCTGCTGCTGCTCTATATAAGAACGGGAGACACAGGAGAGCCTCACCATTCTGGCGAATTGCCCGATGATGCTGGTTGTAATTACCAGCGAAACGTCGTACTCAAATTGTGAATGTTGTTGCTTCAACACACCGGTGGGCTAAAGCAGTGAACTATTTGTCTTTGTCAACGTGACACATTTTTTACTGATTGGCCGTGTCGGGTGGTGGAGGGTTACGACACATTTATAAATAAACGCGATCTAAACCCAAAAATCGTTGATTATGAATAACATTGGTCGCGAAAGCCTACGTGTTAAACAAACTCAGGCTTATTAAACAAATCCTGCTGGGTTGGCAGGTGTTAAAATAAGTAAGCTATGTATCCAGCTATGTAACGCTCATGAAGGCTTAAGGTCCTACTCAAAAGTTAGAATAGACTTTAGACGAAGAGACTACCACTAGGATACCAGGTAGCCTATCCATCATATTCTTATATAATTTAACCTTATTCCCATAACCATATTAAACAGGTTTATACATAAATATTAAACAAGTGTCGTTAAACCCGCCACAGCCAATTAGTAAGGTTTGTCACGTAAACAGAACATGCCGGTTCGTTACTAGTACAGCAAGGGAACACAAGTGACGTCATCACATCTCTCCCTCTATTGAAGGAACGAAACGGGAATATTTTTCCCTAAATCTGTCTGTTGCCTGATGAAGCAAGTTGCAATTACTGGCGAAAAACGTCCATTGTTAGTGTTGTCGTTTTGCTCTCCAACACACCGGTGTGCTGTACTAGTATACAGTACTCTACTATACACTACACTATACACTACTATACACAATACACTACACTACTATACACTACACTATACACCACACTGATGTGCTGTTTACGTGACGAATTGGCCACGCTGTTTACGTGACAACCCTTACTAGTTGGCTGTGTCGGGTGGTGGCGGGTTTTAACGACACATTTATATATTTACGCGATCTAACCCAAAAAACCTCTAATATGGATGATATTGGTCGCGAAAGCCTGCTACGTTTTAAACCGAGGCAAAATAACAAGACTAAGATGTTGCGGCCTGTCAAAATAAGTCCCGGAACAGCGTTCTGGACCGCTCTGAAATATGAAGCACCCTCTGTGGTAAGGGGCCGTCCATAAATGACGTCACAAAAAGTCAGAACCCCCCCCCCTCAAATATGACGTCACAAAGCCCTGCCCCCCCAAATAAAACATGCTTCAAATCGCTTTAAACTATTGTCATTGTAGTGCGTATTTAATGTGGCGCTGCACTCTGATGTTGTAGGAGAAAACATTAAAAGTCTATTTAATTAAGTAGAACGTGTTGTCTATATTTATTTAAAGTTGTGCATTTTGATGTGACGTCACATTTCTCCCCCCCCCCCGTCACACATCGTCACAAATGTCTGACCCTGCCCCCCCAGGTGCGTGACGTCATTTATGGACTTTGCATGAAACACACGACTGAGCTCTATGGTCGGTGTTGACATTTCAGTAAAAATCGCCCCTTGCAGAGAGTTGAATCTTTAAAAAAAAAAACATTTCAATTTGTACATTTATTTTTGGTCTCATGACACCACTTAAACCCACATCGGCACAATTTTTTTCCAATGTAAAGTTTAAGAACATGAATTTCTCTCAATTCTCGCTTGCATCAGCTGGTCCATGATGAAGTTAATTTGGTTACATTGTTTAGTATAATTTGGTTATGTTTGTTTTGCCGTCCTGTTGTTGCTGCTGCCATTTCTGGGCAGATAGCCACAACGGTGACATTGTCAATCCTTCAGCCAGTCATGTAATGTCTCAACTGGACAGGGACTCTTCTACTTACGAACGAGCTAGGTTCCAGAGGTCTGTTCGTAAGTCCAACTTTACTCCTGTCGATTCCAAACATGTTGTACGGCATGTACACTAAACAAGGGCAATGGTTTTAAAAGTTGTATAATCTCCTGTAGATGCCACTGGTTATTCACGTTCTGCAGATGTAGATGCCACCACCGCCATCTATTGCGCGGTGGTCTGATGACTCTCTCTGTCCGAACAGGCTACTCGACATACGGACAGGTCTGATCGTATCTCTGAAAGTTCGTAAGTCAAATGGTCGTAAGTGGAGGAGTCTGTACAATAAAAACATATATAATGTACAGCCCTGTGGGGGCGGGGCACAGCATAATAATGCCTGCCCCTTGTAAACACGTTGGATGGGAGTTATATGTGAATTGTTTCCAACGTTTTTAGCTTTTGGCCGACAGCGACTTGGAAGTGGAGAGCCCAGTTGTGCAAGGCGAGTAGACCGACACCTGAAGCCATACGATTGCGAGTCACGTGTACGTGGTACAGACTGTGATGACGGAACCCAGAGCTTGCCTTCGGTTATCATTTCAAGTACGGACGGGTATGCATCTGCTGCTGCAAATGAAAACGAGGCCAGAGTTCATGGACTTGCTCTTGTATCTGAAGTATGTTGGCATAGGTGGATATGAATATTAATACTCTGTACAAACATTTTTCCATACATAAAAGCACACCTTATTAAAGCAACACATTACACTGAGGAACACTTCTGATAGAAGCACATTTCAAATGAGAACACATGGCGTTTGATCCCAAAGGGTGCGATTATATCAAAATTATCCTGTATTTAACATCGCTTTATGCAGCGAGGAATGATAATTTCTATAACTTTAGAAAGATGTTAGGTAATTGCCTTACATAGATGTCATTTTGATGTTCATCGTCATTTTGATAACTCAAATGAGCTCTGAAAAAGCAGACCCGTCTCAATTCTCACCCAGCATCATCATGCGACGTTAACCGAGGTGCTTCCATTCCACTGCGTAACAATGAAGCACAAACATTCCTCACCCTTCAATATAAAGCCTCCCTTGTGCCATCTAGGCATTGCCATATAAACAAGGGGAAACAGAGGTGCCTGCAGGGAGTCACCCGAATAATATATCAAGACGGTATAGACATGTGCAAGCACGAGTAAAGGGGTGAAACGATGGAACAGCTTTAGAACATAATCAGTAATGCAAAACACAAATAAAGCGAGGTTTTGATTGGGGCTACGTGGTGAGCAGTGCAGAAAAAATCCATTGTGCTGTCCTGGTATGCTCCCGGACATTTACCAATACACGCTGACCAGCAGGGTGAAGTATGGTCGAATATGACCCTCACGTGGGGAGGACCTCATGCAAGCAGTGGATTTATTTGACGATAGTTTACTTTGTACAGCCACTTGTTATTTTTGTTGGATTGAGCCATTCCAGTTGCACTTTGGTCATTTTTCACTCTCAAACTCACCCCCCTATAGGTTATACAGCAACATCCAATGGCATCCATCAGTATTGCGTTGACATTAGTTGATCTATTAGAGAGCAGAAGTGTGAAACCCTCTTGCATTCCCATTTCATGCTTATAAATCAACTTTATTGAACCTTCTCCTGAAAAAAGGTTTCAGTAGGTTAATGTTAAATGAACGCACACGGAGATTTTTAATAAAACCACGAATGGCATTTGAGTATTTATTTTAATATACAAAGTTTATTGGGTTAATAAAAACTTAACAGAAATCTAATTGATATTAACAGTGACTACTTGACTAAAAGTAGCAAGCGAATAAACTAATTTGCATACATTACTGAAGGAACTAACAATATTTGAACAGGATAATGGATTTCATATAAGTGGTGTAAAATGTAAGTTTTGTTAAATTTACTCATGATTATTTCGACAGCCCCAAATCACGAATCAAAACCCCCGCTGTTACTCATGAGATTGGAATATGTATTTAGACTACTGTTTTCTAAAATAACTTGATAGCGTTATGAAAAGAAACTCGTACAAAATGTATTTTTGTTGGAAAACAAATGGATGTGAAGCTGATAGCAGAGGCCTCTTTGGAAACTGCACATGTTGAACTGTAGCAGAATATACTAAAAAAACGTACAATGTAGTTTACACTTTCATTTAAGGGAACAAAGTAAATATACATTTACAGATTGCAGGTGAGAAGATATACCGTATATTTAAAAAAATTCATCTTTGTTTCTTTTTCAGGCAAAGTACAATTTAATCATTTCAGATCAATCATGTGTCAAAACAGCTGTTGCTCACTTAAAGACTAGAAATTCACCAAGTCACCAACAGTAAATGAGAAAAATATACATGTTTGTATCTTAATACCAGAAAATTCCGAAAATAATCCTCTGTAGCAAAACAATACACATCAAAATATTATTACAAAAGCAACAGACACTTAAGGAACCAAGGCATTTTGGTCATAAATTGGGGGAAAAGTTCAGTAGTTGAATGGGTATATTAAACAAGATAACAATACCCAAGCATGTCAACCCTACACTAATCATGTCAGATAAATGCTAAATAAACCCCCTCCCCCTTTGGTGGGAAAATATTTACGTCTAATCTTTCCTTGTACGTGATTCATAACCAGCAAACGCACTGTTACACACACACACACACCCCCAGATTCCACATCTACTCTCAGTGTCCCCCCTATCACAGTAGCAGAGGCACGTTAAGGTCTTGGGTTTGTGGCGGATTTTTCACAGCTGTATCCCTGAAGTTGGCTGCATTATTTTGGCTGAAGTTACTATTTTCCATTAGGACCCTGCCCTTAAAGGCAAGTAAGTACACCCTTAACCTGGGCCCTCAGCAACTCTGGAAAATGCTTACTGCTATTAATGGCAAAGTACGTCAATAAAGTATTTTCTAGAATTTTCTTACATCTAAGTGGCCATTTAGGCATTGTTAAGACTTAATTCTGGCGAGGACTACGTATACAATTGTTGGAGGATAAATCATCTGTTACACAGTGTTGCGAGCCGTTAAAGTGAATTTAGCATTTTTAAGATGTCGAGCTAGAATGTACAATGTACTATCTAATTAATTTGCAAGAATAGGAAAGATAAGAATGCCGCCGGGGGCTAAAAGTGGTCAATAAGGACTGAAACGCAGTTTGCTCCCTTGTAGTTGGGATCGCTGGCCTTCTGCCAGTTACTGGGCTCACCTGCAATAAAGAGAAAATCAATGTTAGCAATTTTACTCATAAAAGATCAATCATAAACAGAAAAATGCATCGCATATACACATATATATCATTCCAGATGTCAAATGTGGTGCATTTTGAAATATATATATTCTCCACTCGATCTACTGTTGGACAAAGACCTGCGCATATTGAAGCCACTGTATCTGAGAGATGAGTTAAAATCAGTTTTAATGTTGACATCATTACACAAATGTGACACGTATACGCTAATAAAGTACAATTCTTATTGCTGCTGTAATTAATTACTGGACTCCAACAATGACATACTTATTAGGTGAGAATACTTAAGATGTATTATTACATCGCAGCAATCATGGGAGATGGTGACAGCTTTAGGAGGCCTTTGCCCAGCAGTGAATTGATCATGGACGCTGCTAGCCGATTTAAACATTCATCTTTCCTTTCAGCACACAAGTGCAAAGAAGGCGTACGGTGTTTGATGGCACTTACAGTGAGGGAGTCGGAGTTCCACTGGCTTAAGGAATTTGAGGCCATGGGGGCCACACATCACAAGAGGGCTCAGCAAGGTCTCTCCTGCACAACGCAGAACGAGTAATGATCAGACAGCCAACAACTTCACAAACATGAAACGTGAGGGGAAAAAACTCTTGAAACATCAAAATCTTTTTTTTGCGATTCATTTCATATACATATAAACACTTTAGATTTATTACTGTCGTATTTACATATTTTGAAATGTTAAAATATACATTTTTTACATCAAATATATAGTTTGATAATGGTCAAAACATCCAAGCTTTTCCCTTGCATCAGACAGCACAGCAGGCAACCAACCGGGGGGAATGGGGGGGAGGTGGGCTGGACCTCGCAGACTCACACGCTCCACCGGACCTTCTTACCCTTCTCCTTGTCGAGAGGAGGCAGGATGCTGTTGTCTTTGCAGACCTTGAAGTAAATCTCCTGCTCCACGGCTGGTGGGATGGCTCCCTTCGGGATGATGATGCTCACGCCTGTCTCCACGGAGCTGAGCACCCCGCCGTGCGTGTCGAAGACGCCGCGTGCTGTCGCCAGCACCGTGTGGCTCTCGTCCTCCAAGGCACTGGAACTTGAGATACGAGAGACGACAAGCGGCGTCAGAAAAAGCCACATGACGCGGGTAGATTTCCGCGCATCAGTGTTTCACAGCTTTCCAATGTAACTTGGGGGTTGTTATCGCGTGTTGTGCGGCATGATGTCCTGACATTTTGCTCTACGTGCCGGGAGCACTTGCACGAAAGCTCCCAGCACATCGGAGCAAAACCTTGAACGTCACGCGAAATAACACACAGCACAACGCATCCGACAGCAACAATGTTGGTGGCGGGGGTGGCTCGGGAGAGCTAACATTAGAATCGGAGGAACGTTGCTGAGAATTTACAGTAGATTTAATTCCAGATAGCTACCTGGGGTTAAACCAGGTTCTCTCGAGTGCAGTTGATTCTGCCTGCTTGCACACCAAACAATATATATTTCAGGATTTTTGCTTAATTAGGCCTATTCAAGTTCGAGAGACAAAAAATTTTTTTGCCCATTACCATGCAATACTCTTACCAGGGCATATAATGGAGCACCAACAAAAGGCTCATTGAAGTGACTTTTAAAAGTAATTTCTGCAATGTCACATTTGAGAGCTATTCTCAGTCATGACATGAGGCACCACTTAATGAGTGTGGAAATGTATTTGGCTTATAATGAGGGCGATGACAATTTAGATATAATTTTTGCCAAGTAAAAAATTATTTGGCAGTGATTCATCTCAATGTTACCAGCAGCAGTTCAAAAACCAAATATCAAATTACTGACGGAAGAAATTACTCATTACGAGAGATAATTCGCAGGGAGTGCAGGTAAGGAGTATTTTTCATACAGATACAATTACTTAAGACAGTACTTCATACCAGAAGCTAACATGTTTAATGGTGGGATGTATTAATTTTAGCGTGGCATTCCATTACCATTAAATAGGCACATGCTTTCGGACTTCTTGCAGTAAATCATGTACTTTTGTAAGATTCATAGAAGTAATGTCATGCTGTTAAATATCATGGCGATCATTTATTTGTATACCAAATTGAAACATCACTGAATTTCACTTATGTTCAAAAGGTTTCTGCTTAAGAATGTACACAAGGAAAAGCACAAATGTGAAGCGATAATGCAAAAATAAATCACACCGTTATGTCAGTAACCTGTCTTACTGCCTCATCGGCAGCTTCAAGCCAAGCAGCACTTTGTTCATCCCCTGGATAAGCCAACCTCACCTCCATAAAAAAAGACTCTCCCCTGTTTAAGTTCTCATGTGCACGTCCACAACGTTTGAGCAGTGTAACTGCGATGGGGTCACCTTTAAAAATAACCATTCAAATCCAAACTGTGTTTTACCGCAAAACTCATCTTATCCGTGGCGATTTGAGGAGGTGCTATTTTTTGGGTACGTGGTAGTATTAACATTAACTTAAAATGTTTCCTGTTATCTGTGCCGTCATCTGTCCAGATAAAAATAGAAAGCTATTACCACCACTTCAACGTGAATCCTCCAATCTGCAAAAAGATGTGGATTTTAGGATGAATTTAGCAAATCAGAGAGACCACTTGCACGTGACTCATCCATACATTAACCATCGCTGGCTTACCACCGCCATCATCAACTAGCACGACACTCGTTGTTTTAAGCCGATTGGGTGAAACAAATGCGAGTACTTGATTCCAAAAGAGACTGCAAGAGATACGCACCTGACAGGAATGGCTTTGGGGGCAACAGTCATGGTCTCGGATTGGAACTGTTGCTTTGAGGGCTCCTGAGGTTTCGTTGTGATGTTGATGCTTGCGGGCTCGTACTGCTGGCTGCTGGGCCGGAGCCCACTGCTGTCCGCGTCATTGGGAAGCAGGTTGTGTATGAACTTGGGGCTGTCGAACTTCCGCTGGAAAGGCTTGGCAGTGCCGGGCGTGAATCTGCTGTAGGACAACGCTGAGGTCAGTCCCGGCGTTTAAGACGGAGCAATGGCAAAATGGGTTCTCGCTTGACAGAGGCGACACTTTAAGTACATGACCTACAAAATATGTACAAGTGCTGCAGCAAGTGTGCTTACTCACACAGGTAGTTCAAAACATGTTATTCTGCCTCTTTAAAGACTGCACTGGTTTCCCATTTACATCAGAATTTATTTTAACGTTCTGCTTACTACTTATAAGGCCAGCCTTTAACGGTGTTGGGCCCTCATGTTTACAGGAACTGTGCACACCTCATTGCTTCGATTTGCACATTGAGATGAGTGAATGCTGAACTTTTTGTAGTTCCTAATAATCGTCGAAAATCATTACGGGGGAGAGGTTATCGTTGGTTGTATCACGATTTCTCGATGGAACTCTTCCAAATTATATCAGAGAAGCACATCGGGAATTACATTCATGGATAAAATATTTTATGTAATATTTGATTCATAATTAGTGTATTTTGAAATAGATCATGTAGGCGCAATTACAACGTTTAGATATAACCCTCCCCCATCATCCTACACAGCCAATCAAAAATCAAGCAAAATTTTGATTTAAAGCTTTCGTGACTGCAGGGATTCATAATCTTGGTTCTTTCGGTAAAGTCACGTAGAAGGGAAACAATAAAATAATAAAAAAGTAAAATAATACAAATACAAATATAAAACAATTATTGTTTCCCTTCTACGTGACTTTACCGAAAGAACCAAGAATATAAAAATCAAGTTGTCACGTGGGCGTGTATGCCAGTTCATTTGGTTTATTGGCAAAACCGAAGGAATGTTCGAAAAGGAAGCAAAACTCGCGAGAGTGGACGTCTTGCGACCCACCTGATGACGGCTGGATGTAATCACCAGCAATACGTTGCATGAAAAAAATTGTCATAAATTTTGCTTGCTTTTCAATATTCTAATTTTGGCTGATAAACTAAATCAAATGGCATATTTGCCCACATGCAAACTTGATTCGATTGGCTCTGTTGGGTGCTCGAGGGTTATAGTTGGGACACTGGCATTCTACAAACGTAATATACACTGTAAAAACGCGGATTATGAATCATTGGTCACGAAAGCCTACGTATATAAAAAATATTCACTCTAATTTGTAGGAGATTGCTTATTTAACAGCTATATTGAGGTCAATGTCTTTTTTGGTTTTAATTACAAGGAATCCAGAGAAGCAGAGCATTATATAAAAGCAAATTCCACTATATATAACCTTAATAGAAAAGATTTGGAAATCTTTTGATTAAAATTGTTTGTTTAAAGCACGGTAAACACTATCGTCTAATCGAATAGTTTCTGTTACACAGCTGTTGACTGGCCATGCTTTTCATTTCCCTGTAAGAATTTTATTTAATAAACCATAAAGATAAAATATATCATTGCTCATGACCTCACCATGACATAAAAAAAGGTTCTGACAAAAAATTCCCATCCTTGCATAGAGAAATAATTACGTTAAAATACCAGGGTGTCTTAATTAGATCAGGGAACAGCGATTATCCCAAAGGTAATTAAATTTAGACACCACACAGATCTAGTTGTGACCTCTTGAAACCAAAGCGACACAAAACACCTGGTTGAAGTGACGTAGAGAGGGGGCTGTCCAAATGTACGATTCCTCAAAACAAGAATGCACCAATTTAAAATGGCACACAAACACCAGAGATGTGTAAAGCAAAAAAAAACATAATATCGTGCAAAACATTGGGAAATTAATTTTCAATCCACATGACGCCATATTATAAGAAAGTATTTTTTGGAAATCCCAAATTACATTTTGAAAATCCTCTACAGAGGTGGTCAGGAAGCTCACAGGTTCAAAGCACTGAAATCCTGGGTTCAAACTGTGGGTTTCGACCACCGGTGATGGAGGTGGGGTCTGAAAGTGTAGCGAGGGGGGGGGGGGGGGAGCTGATGATGGGTCTCAGCCTGGTCAATAACTGCAGAGAAAATCACCACGAAAAACTTGGTTCCGCGAGCAATATGCTGGGAACCCTCGCATGGTGGATAAAAGGTCAATTGAATAATTTCCAGGAGCAAGTTCTGCAAGATATCCATTTAACAGACAATCCTCCAACATGGGGTGATACGCTGCTCAGCATCATGTCAGGACAGAGAGTTCAGAACAGATTAATCCTCCTGACGGTATGCCGAAAAGCACACCTGGGATAAAATGAATAATTTCCTCAACACCTAAAGAGTTTGTGGATGGATCAGTGACTTGCAGTAAAGGAGAGTGGAAGTAAACATACCTTTTCTAAAATTATAATTTGAAAGAATTCATGCAAACACAGAAACTAGTAATGCAAGCAACTAAGTCAACCCGAATACAGCACTTAGGGTGTTTATTGACAGCATTATTAACAATTTCATTATGGTCTAAATAACAGTCGTTTAATTGTACTGTAATTATTCAGCATTAAACAGCTACATTTATTGTAAGTCTTATTTATTAGATTAGATTAGAGTCATTTAAATATATTATTCAATATACAGTTGACATATTTTAACTTATACCAGGTCTCCCTTCGCCTAAAATATTTGCATCGCAATGGGCTCCCACCTATTGGTTCTAGATAAAGGTCAATTGATCGACATCTGTTAGATTAAAATTGCGGGCCATCCATCACAATCAGCTCTACAACTACATTTTAGGGCTCATCACCACTTAGACTGCATATAAGTAAACGTTCACAGAGATGGATGGGGGGGGGGGGTACCTGGCGGTATAGGGAGTAGGGTTGGCTTTGTACGGTGCCGGAGTAGACCCGTTCACGGAAGGCTGGGTTGTAGCTACGGACGCTGGCCCCGACTGGAACGGCTTCTGCACGGGAAAACTGGGCTTGGTTGCCAGCTGGGGGGGATCCGGCTTGGCTTGGATGGTAGGAACGTTCTCCCGAGACACTGAGCAACAGTAGGGCAGGAGCAGATGTGAGCACACTTCCCCCTCAGTCTTATTTACTACACAAGCCTCGTCACATCGTGACAGGCAACAAGCCTACGTGTTGGTGCGTGAACGTGAGGTGCACAGATATACGTGTGCAAAAACTGGCGTCTATGCAGGTTTGTAACATTAATTTACTATTTTTACCATGAACATGTTTACGTATTATTTGTATTGTTAGACACATTTTGAATTATGAATTAAACCAATATATATCTTTAATGCTATCTACAACAAATATATGTTATCATTCTTGCCAATGTAATGCAGCATCTTTAAAAAAACATGTTTTACAACAGTCTCATTATAAACACGCACCAAAGTGTAATTTATGAACATTGCATTCTCTTGACAATCACTGCCCTTTCAGATTAATAATGAATTTGCTAGCTCCAGTAAGCACACCACGTGTACATTTCAGAGTCATTAACTTATGAAAACCATAGGACATGTTTTGTTAATTACCTGCATAAATTGCCTGCCGAGCCTTGGAATCAAACCAAAGACCCGAGGCAAAATACTCATTTGGCGAGCATGTTACCTATGGCCATACTTAACCTGCTCCAATTTTTGTTTCCCATTTAACAGCTCGATTAAGTTCAAGTATCAGGTGTTCACTTGTGGCTTTGCGCTTACAGGGCAGCAGTGGGCAGGCATTGTGCTTACCAGAACTCTGGTAGGTGTCGGTGCCACCAATAGAAGCTGGTTTCTGTGTGATGGCTGGTTTGGGATAAATGGGAGGGGCATAGCCGACGGCCTTGTGGGCAGGCGAAGCCCCAGCCGGTGGATCGAGGGGCTTGTCTGCCACCTTGGGCTTGGTATCCAGGGATTCCAACTCTCCTGCCCTGACCCTACACACATACACACACGTGCGCTTTTAACGCTGCAATGGCTCCAATCGAAAATGTTCGTCGTCGGTCATGGGGCATACGCAGAGAGAGAAGGCAGGCTGAAGCCTCGTCATCCATGAGCGGTGAAAAATGTAAAAGAAAATGTGTGCAGCTAAGCAATGAATAAATTATGAAAGCATTACATGAAATCTGTTCGGCTCTGTGCATTAGTTCATGGGACAGCTTTCTGTGTTTAGCTTGTTGTCCTTCCCCCGCACCTCCGATTAGCACGATTGGCTACGTAACGGTGCGAAAGAATTGCGACATACATATAAACACGGACTGCACACCCCACGAAAATTGCACAGTAGAAAGTGAAATTTTTTGTCATTGAAAAAAAATATTGTTATTTAAAAACCACTCAGGTTTATATATTTATTAACGTTAAATTGTGGATTTGGTCATTGTGTGGATTAGTACTAATGGCACAATCAAATTAAAATGGAAAATGGATGCTGTTGCTTCAGCAATGTTAGAGATACATACATCAGAGATCTCCCAATATATAAGAAAGCGGATGGAGTGGTTTCCTGTCAGTTCTTACCGATAGATGCCTCTCCTGTCAGTGGCACTTACATTGTAAAAGCTGAGACAGCATGAAAGGGAAACATTCAAGAGGCGGTATCAGGTTAAAGTAGTGAGGGGGGGAAAAATGGCCACACAACTTGACAGATGCCTTGCCAAGTGTAAGAGAGTATTTTATATTAACATGAAGCTTTAGATTTGGAAGTGTTCCATAGGTTTCACTGGGTTATAAACACAATTGGGTGACCCAGCCTCTGTGTGTAATTGAATTCATTTATAAACTGATCAATGACAAGACAATTTAATTTGGTTGGATTATCCAAGGCACAATATAAACACACTTATGGAGTTGAAGGTTGCGAGATGCAATGCTGGCTATATCCATCATCCCCTCTGGGGTTGATAAAACTGAGTACCATTTTGTGGGAAATCAACAGCAGTCATCCGATGGAGGGTCTATCTCCACCACTGGCTGAGCCACCAAGGAAGATTTGCTCATAAGAGCAGGGAGACACACAAACCTTGATATGATGGTATAATTTCATTAGCACACATGTAATAGAGTACTTTATGCAGTTATGCAAATATAAAGTCAGTCAACGCAACAACGATGCTAAGCGGAAAATAATGAATAGCATTCATGCAAGTATATTAACAGGCACATGTTATGGGCACCTTCGACATGGTATTATGTGCCTATTTTGTGACATATGCAAAACAATGAAATGCAGTTAATATTTGAGCAGCTTATGAATTTGATATGGAGGGGCTCTGGGAAGCACAAACCGAGACAACGCACAATGTGGCACTGTTAGCGAATCCCAAACGCTTCATGCCACAAAGCACAAAATGAAATCTCCGCGGCATATTTTATGCACACACGTGCATATACCCTGTGCACAAAACGACTCGTGTATATTTTCGCGTGTGAGCACAACCATGCACATTCACATGCACGTGCATGAAAGTGGAAAGCACAGGAGATGGGGGAGGGGGTTTCACCTGACTCCGGATACAACTCAAAACCTAGAGTCGTTTGTAACGCACGAGAGAATGCTTGTGGATTAATATAGGAAATAAATAGTAACGATCTCTTGTAAAAATATATATACACACGAAGTGCGTCTTGTGGTGTATTATTTTTAAGGCAGGATGTTGGTGGTAAGTGAGAATAAAATCAGGCAGGAAATAACAGGTCCTTTTTCTATAACCCTGGCCCCAACATCTGATATTACTACCGAATAACACATGGGTGAGAACTGTAAAAAGAAACAGCAGCACTGGCGCGTACCTTGGAGCAAAGCTTCATCTAGCGGAGGGAACCGGCACGCAGCAGGCTAACAAAAAGTATTAACGCAATATGATACATGTCCAGCGTAAATGCATCCTAAGTCTCCATTATTTCTCTTTAATGTCATCAAGAATGAAGGAGCACATGCACTATAAAAAATCAAAGGTAAGTCAAGCTACATGTTTAATTCCAGGTTTTAAGGGGATATATTTCCAGCTTTTCCATAATAAACTGTGAAAAGTATTTCGTGCTCTTCCTGCTTTTATGTCTGTTTTCATTTACCAGCACCCTCTAAATTGAGAAAAGCCGGCAACATCCCCTTTATTTCATAATTTTCTTTCTTTGACCTTTTAAGAGCCCTAAAGGTTAAGACGTGTAATCTGAAGTCGTGGCGTGCTGCTCTGTAGCCCTTTGACATGCATTATTGCCTTCCTGGGACTAAAAGCGAAAGGCGACAATGGCCCCAACAGATGGCCCTCCCTCTAGGCAGTCACAACTGACCTTTTGAACTGCAATCAGTGGGAGGGCGGCCAAAAGCCAGGCAACTAAAAAAAAATGAATAGCTATCGGGGACACAATTCTTTCATATGTGCAGTCTTCATCCAAGAGGGTAATAAAACTGACTGCTGAGTATAAGTATAGCGTTTGTGCCATGCCAATAATTATCCTTCTATGAATGCATATAAAAAAGTGCCAAAATTATTTGTATTTATATGCTCTAAATGTATAATTACGTGTAATTTCGCATGTAATTAAATCTTACAAACAGCCACAAAAAGGACAGGGGATTAAACAACCTGCCCTTTTCAACACTAACAGCATATTATGCATAATTCACTTGTGTTTAAATATTACGGGCAGCTTGCAGTGGAACAGCAAACTGCAATTTGACTTGATGCAGCGGATCTGGCTGTGGCGGTCCCACCTGATGACGGAGACTTGTGTTGCCTCCGAAACGTCGTGATTTATTATTATAAAATTTTTTATAAATTTTTATTTCATTTTTTACCTACGTGACTTCACCAAAAAAACTAAGCGTATGCAATTTGAAGCTGGTAAATTAAAAACACAGTGCAATTGAAACAGAATAAAATTCTATATTAAGACAAAGAAAATAAATGCCATCACCACAATCATAATCGATACTGATTTATAACAAAAACATATAATTGGCCAATCCCAATGACAATCGCTCTTCTTCAGAGCAGTGAGGTCAGTCACAACATCTGCCTCGCTTATACGAGGATATAACATTTTGGAAACTAATGCCTTAATATCACGAGGCAATATTGAGTGTTGAACTTTGAAACATACAAATGGTTATCTAATTGGATACTTTCATCATCATCCATCATTGTTAGCCATGATCAATCAACTGTTAGATAAAGGCCTCCCCCAAGTTGCCACCATCCTTCATGATACTGTGATGTAACAATCTATCCAGAACCTGTACCCAAGCCCATCTCATTGCTCCATCTCCACAGTAGACGTCCTCTTTACGCACTCCCTCCTTTGGCTGCGAGAGTCGTTATTTTCATCCAATGACAATTATCCATTCTCGTAACAAGTCCTGTCCAAGCCCAACTACTTTTTAAATCCACGTCTCTAATCTGCATGTTCTCTAATCCAAATGTCCCTATGTCGTTCTCTCAGCGAAACCCCAAGCATGCATCTCTCCATGCTTCTTCCTGCATTTTTAGCTTTTGTTCCAACCTCTTCATAAGTACCCATGTTTATGATCCGTATATCATAGCAGGTAATTGGCACTAATTAAAAACTCCCTCTTCAGATACTTTGGTATGTTGGTTTTCATCATGAAGTCCGGCATTTCAAAAGCGCTCCAACGCATTCTCAAAATGTAAAATAAACAAATGTATTTTCATTGACGAAGGCAGTAAAGCCAAAACCTGAAAACCTGCACGAGAGGAAGTCAAAAGGCAACGCCTTACATTGACATAGCAGGTCAATATACAGCTAACGGCTTTAGGTAAAATTATCAAACGCCTTCCGTGGGCCCCGTACCTGTTGTGTGCGGCGAATGCCGATTGGGCGGGTGGCTCGGAGGGCTTGGGTGCAGGTGGGTCCTGGCGGCTGAACAGGCCGAGCTGCGTGCGGTACCCAGCCGCCTCGTCCTCATCCTCGTCCTGCGAGTTGGAGTAGCGGTTCACGGGACGTAAATCATCTGCAGGTTTCACCTGCAACCTTGGCGCTTCGCCCGCTCTGAAACAAAAATCAGCGGCCGTGAATTAAAATCGGAGCAAGCATTGATTGAAGCGTTATTAACCAACGCCGGTCGCACTGGAGCTCATCCTGGGGGCGATACGGCCAGGTGGCATTGCGGCAGATGGCTCGACTCGGCAACATCAAGTTTGCAAGTTCAAAGAACGGTTCGCGGTTAATCCCGATAAAAGTGGTTATTTCACCGGAGCTGATAAAAGGAGTAGAAATAGAACAATTTACCTATCCCCCACTATGTATTTTAATCGTTTTGATTCCAAGTCTCCATTTCATTCAAGGAACAAATAATGTTGGTCCCGTTTCTATCGTTTCCCGATGTTTTGTTGTTGTCTTGTACTGTTGCGTTCGATCATTAGGCTACATGTATAATTTGCATATTTCTCAAACAATATGCACAAATGCCATAAATACATTTGATATACATGTCATATAAGTAAAACTACATTGAATACGCAAGTCAATGCATGTCTACAATCGGCACCACTTTTTGGTGAGGGGTACTTCCCATGGAGATACTAGTCCCTGCCATATTAATGTATAATGTTCACTCCAAGCTGCCAATGGAGGCGTGCACCTCTCACGAATCAACGTGCATTTTGACGTGGACACTTAATGTAGGTAATGGCAGTGAGGACATCTTATTTTTTTTCCACAAGAGGTCCCCATTGCGCAAACGGTACACCGGGACAAAATGGACGCTTCTGAGATGCACAGAGCCAAGGGGGCTCATCGACGACGGGACCGTTTGGAGAGCGACGCAGCTTTGTAACCAAAGCAGTGAATGGCACGTCGGATAGAAATACTTTACATTTACTCTTCATACTCAACTCACAAACATTACCATCGGTTGGATTTGAAAATGTTTCAACTGAAATGCCAATAGCTAAAGTAAATGTCATTCCACTGCGATTAGAATCGACAAGGGGCTGGCTGTAACGTCATTTCGCAGCTATGAAGCACTGGTACCTGTAGGTCTGCGTCGACTGTTGAGCGGCATGCGTCAGCGGTGGGACAGGCTGAGCCACGTGAATGTCCACCTGCAACGGAGAGAAGTCACCATCTGCTGACCGTGCAGGGTAACTACACCAACCGCGACCATCCCTCGTGCGAACTACACGCTGCAAAGACCAAGCTGCAGCGCGTCTTGGTTATGAACGATAGCAGTTGTGCACGATTAGAGCCAATGATTCATAATCAACTTTTTGGGTTAGATCGCGTTATTTATAAACGTGTCGTAACCCTCCACCCCCCGACACGGCTAATCAGCAAAAAAGTGTCACGTTGACAAGACAAATAGTTCACTGCTTTAGCCCACCGGTGTGTTGAAGCGTGAAACCACAACATTTACAATTTTTGAGTACGACAAATCGCTGGTAATTGCATCCAGCATCATCGGGCAATTCGCCAGAATGGTGAGGCTCTGCTGTGTCTCCCGTTCTTAAATAGAGCAGCAGCAGGGTGACGTCATCATTTAGATCCAATGAGTTTGGGTTGATACGAGTCGAAGCTCAAGAACCCTACAAGCTGAATATAATATGGTTGATTAAAAAAACGTCCCGTAGATAGATACAACTGCTTAACCCAAGCTATTCATGCTTGGCTTTTGCATTGTACTTGTACTGATCGCCTTTTGGCAGCCTTTGGTCTAAGACTGGTTGAGCCAAAGACATAAACAATGGCCGTCTCTGGTGCAGGCAAATCAGTTTTAAAGGACAATGCATACATTATCAAAGCATATGGTTTGCATGTTTTACCACAAGTTTGTGTGGTTTGTACACAGTCGATGCCTTGTAATTGATGTCTATCTGGTGTTTGAACATCCTAAGACCTCCTGTAGTTATGCCAGAAAGGTTAAAACCCTTTTTAACCATCTTGACAATGTCAAAAGGGTCCCCGTATATACGAATGCATTATGGTTGTTATAAATTGGATGTGAGGCTACGAAGGGAAAAAATAATTGACTCACTCCCTTTATTAAACATCTAACGTTACCAATCCGAAATTACCAATAATAAACTGAAAAACCGATTAGTTATTGTGAATTATTTTACATTTTGAACACTGTCAAAACCATAAATTATTTAAATGTACACAGACAATCAAATTGACCATCAGCAAATATGAATAGAGTGAACAGTTATATCGGGTTGGTAGAACGTTTAATTTCACATGCCAACGTGCATGTTTGATTGATATTCTAAGAGACTCCCCACGAAAATACAACTCTCCTCAAATGTGTGATATGAGCACCCAATGAACTATACACGATTGTGTCAGCTCTTCCTCACAGCACATTCTTCTTATTGCTACCAATGACACAGACGCAAAGACCTAAAATGCAAAAGTACCCAATCACTGAGCACTAACAGCAGTAAATCTTCAGATGAGTGAGAAAAAAATCTTAAATTGAACAGGACTAGGCACTACGGAATGGAGCGTTGGTACAGTGATTAGTGCACGGCTCTATGAACCAGCAAACAGTAACATTCTCAGCCATGGCTAACATCAATGACACAGACGCAAAGACCTAAAATTCAAAAGTACCCAATCACTGAGCACTAACAGCAGTAAATCAGATGAGCGTGAAAAAAATCTTAAATTGAACAGGACTAGGCACTACGGAATGGAGCGTTGGTACAGTGATTAGTGCACTGCTCTATGAACCAGCAAACAGTAACATTCTCAGCCATGGTTAACATCAGCCACCAATTAAATCTTGAGTTGGTCATGGCCACCCCTCTTCACCAACCCACAATGACGAGTGTATGGTGAGACAACCCACATGACCGACAATACAGGGGAGGCCTTCATCTAGCAGTGGATTGATAAACGGCCGTATGTTCCTTTTAATTAGGGAATGGAAAAAGACAACGGGAGAGTTCAAATATGGTCGTGTAATTTGCCAACACACACACCTTGGGCTGCTGTTTCTCAAACATCTTCACTCTGCCAAGGACAGACTTGGGGATGACGGGCTCCGAGTCGCTGTCCTCCCGAGGAGGGTTTGTAGCTGGGGCTGGTGGTGGGACCTTGATGGTGGCCTGGCGTGGGGGTTCCGTGGCACTGGGTGGCGCCGGTGCGGCAGAAAACTGTGAACGGCTGGGCTGAGCTTCGTGGCTTCGGACATCACCATCGTCGAAGCTGTGGGGCTGCTGGTAGTTTCTTTGCAGGCTGCCATACTGGCGTTGAGCATTGTCATTGGCTCTTTGACTTGCGCTGTTGTACGAACTCGGCTGAGCATCATATGGCCGCTGCGGCGCATTATTAGACCGTGGGATACTATCATATGACCTTGGCTGCTCATCATAGGCTCTCAGCGATCCCTCGTCAAAGCTTCGGGAATGTGGGTGCTGCTCATAAGCACTTGGTGGTTGGCGGCTGTCATAACTGTGAGGCTGCCTGCTGTCGTACTGCAGCGGTGACCGAGGCTCTGGAATCTGCGCTTGTCTGGTTTCGTATTGCTGCAGGTGGTCTAGCCTCATACTGCTGCGGCTGGCGGACTTCGTACTGCTGCGGCGGAGGTGGTTGCCTGTGATCCTGCACCTGCGAAGGTCTAGCCTCGTATTGCTGCGGTGGCGGTCTCTGCTCCTGGACCTGCGAAGGTCTAGCCTCGTATTGCTGCGGTGGCGGTCTCTGCTCCTGAACCTGCGGAGGTCTGGCCTCGTATTGCTGCGGTGGTGGTCTCTGCTCTTGAAGCTGTGGAGGTCTAGCCTCATATTGCTGCGGTGGTGGTCTCTGCTCTTGAACCTGTGGAGGTCTAGCCTCATATTGCTGTGCCGGTCTGTGCTCCTGGAACTGGGGCTTCCTCGTCTCGTACGATTGAGGTGGTCTGGCTTCATATTGCTGTGGCTGTCTTTCTTCGTACTGCTGCGGCTGCTGCTGCTGCCTCGGGTCAAACTCCTGTCCTCGGTGGTCTTGGTAGGGGGAGGAGATCCTGTAGTCGTGGTCATCTGCCTGCCTCTCTGTTTGGTGGTGAACATGCACAGCCTGTTGGGACTGGTACGAGTACTCGTGGCTGGATTGGGAGCTGTGGGCGTAGTTTTCGGGCGGTGCATCATAACTGGTCCTCTGTTGTTGTTGTTGTTGCTGCTGCTGGTATGCATGTTCGTCATAGCCTCTAACTTCCTGGCTCTGACGAGCAGGCTCGGTGCTGTAATTCACTGGTCTTCGCTCCTGAAAGCAGAGTTTGACACCAGAGTTGAATAAATACAATTGAATTGATAAAAAAATTGGATTGCAGAAAATTATTTATCAAAGTATCTCACTTTTTAAACAAGTGCGGGGGGCTGTTCATCTCTTTGGGCAGTACGAAGCCAGCTAATTACATAACATTCTCATGACAAGCACCAGAATATTCATTTAACAACTATTGTTCACATCCTACACCGTGGTACCCATTTTATTGACCAATGGGATGATGTGTTTGACTTAACCTCCATTCAGGGACTTTAATTACATTTTTGCAACTGTTGCACAAACACAAATATGCATGGTTCCCCTAATAGGTAAATATATTAGAGGAAAATTAATTATATCAATTCAAAAATGCTCAATCAGTCACCACGCATAAAAAACGAATGCTCCAAGTACAGTGTAGCCACACCGTTATTACCAGAGGAATGTAAGGTTTGAAAATATCCCCGTTTGAAATAAGTAAAGGAGACATGCTGAGAAATAGAAGCATTAGAGCACAAATAATAACCTGCATCACCACATTATTCAAAACACATGCACACATAACAAGTGGACCTGTCATGGCCGTGTCACTTTAAGCAAAGAGAAGTGTTGGACAAAACGTATCACGTCATGACAGTAGAGAAGCTTGCAAAACGTAGAAGGATAGACTTGTGAAATGAAATCACACCAGCAGTGGAAGCGACACCAATGGTGGCCAAACGAACATCACATCAGCAGGCAGTGCTGAGATTGGAGTATACCATTAACCATTGGAAGACTGCGCCTTCATTCCCTAGTTTGGGGCCTACTCAATGAGTATATCCCTTGAAAATCGTTTGTAAAGTTAAGCTCTCGTCATAGGAATGTGAAATCTCCACCACCGACTCAGGTCTGCCATTTGGGATGAGCGCGTCCCATTTAAGTTAGACTGACTTGAATTTAAAAACTAGATTTTGTAACATCCTTCAGAATTTAATCGCATGTGATCATTATAGGGAGGTATAATTAATGAGCAAATCATTATCATTTGCTTGCTTTAGCAAATACTGCTGAATATTGATCTGGAAAGAAAATAATTGGTGAGGGACTTGGAATAATGATACATGTATGTGTAGACACAGAACAGAGTTCTGCTTACATATTGTCTGTATCTAGGACTTTAATAAGAAATGTATTTGTATTCCGGAGACTATAAACTCATCTCGGATGATCACAATGGCAACAGTGGGGTGCAGCCTGCGTACCGGTGACGGCTCGGCGAGCATTTCTCTGCTCGTGGTGCGGGGAAGGCGTGGTTTAGGAGCCCCGGGCTCCGGGCTTGGTCTCCTAACGGGCTCGGGGCTGTTTCTGTGCACGGCCTGGGGCTCGGGCTGGGCACGAGGGAGCGGCACCGGCTCCTCAGGCTGCCGGGCTGCCGGACGCTGTCCCTGCGACGCCCTGCTCAGGAAGGTGGCGGCGCTCAGCGGCTGTCGGGGATCCAGCTGTGTGTAGGGCACAGAGCGAACCAAATTTTTACGATCGTTACAGTTGACGAAACAAGTTTCTTTCAAAGTAGTGTCAATAAAAAAGACCTAATTTTATTTTACTTGTAGTACTGGACGAGTAAAACTACAACCTGTGGAAGTAAAGTCTTCGTCTCGGATTCATTAAGTTTAGTCTCGGTGAGTAATTCAGTTAAACATATCATCCACTATTAGTCGTTACATTTTGGTGCGAGTGGTGGACAATTCACCTTCACCCATATATTGTCAGTGAATTCGGTAAATCTTATGATATATACATTTAGTCAATAAGCATCTTTGGTCTAAAACAATGCATTGCAGTCCCTAACAATGTTACTAATTATCTTAATCTGTGTCTTAATTTAGATTAGTATTTTTCTTCATAATCTTCAAAAGTTGATCTTTGGTGAGTCACATTCATAATCATGTTCAAAAACTCCACTCAATCAATGGTGACAAGAAGAGAAATTACATTGTTGCTGAATAATTTCATCACTAATTCCCATCAACAAAATGAACACTGCTTTTAAGCAGCCAGGATATAAGCATAAGCAGCAGTGGCCACTTTCCCAGGTTGAACAAAGCAAATTCCTTCTACCAACCGCAGATCTCAGCATGTCAGCGCTACATAACCTCCCAGTTAGACATACTAATAAACAACGCCTTCCATGCATGTCGAAAACGTTATTCGATTCTTGCATTTGTGTTAAAAACATTTTAGCCAAAGAAAACCGAACCAAATTATTCTACTTTAGAAGTTCAATACAAAATATATTACAACATCTAACAGAAACACGGCCGCTGGAATGTAGCCTGGCAAGCCTGCTCCCATACCTCCTGGGGAGAGGCTCTTTTGGTTGCTGCATGCTCCCGGTCAGACTGCACAGGCTGAAGCTGCTGCGAGTGGTACCCCTGGACAACCTGCAGGCGTAAACAAAGACATATCTAAGTTTCACTGCTCATAGAGCACATTGATTTATCTGGAGTTGAAGGAAACAATGATTATCAATAGGCCTTTTTAGATCCTTGTTTTTCACACAACGGCCAAGTTTACTTTAAAAGAACCCTTTGAAAGGCCACGATAAAAAATATATAAATGTTCTTTACAAAATTGTCAGTCTTTTAAGAGGCTGCCAAAATTGCATTCCAAGACTAAACCTTTAAAACAGTGGCCAATTTTTTTTTCGAATGCATGATATCAAGCAAGAGTTCGAAACATGACCCCGCCAACTCCCACATTGGCAAATTAGTTAATATCCGAAAACACTTTCCAGAGACGAATAGAATTAATGCATTAAATTATACATTCACCATTCTAATATAGCTGTGTTTTCAGGCTGTACCATGTGTTACTGGCCAAGATCTGCAACATCTCAATCCATGTGCGTGCTGGGAGCCCAACAACAGATGGTACAACCAGAAAACACATGAGAGCGATTTACAGTATAACTACAAAAACCTACCCACAAACCAGCAACCTATAAAACGTTTGAGATTCATTTTTTTTATAAACCCTTAATGGTGACCCAGGCAGTGCTATTTATATTTATCCTTTTTTTTTCAAATGCATTCATAAAAAAAAAAACTATAATATCACTAAGGAGTGACCGAACCCCACAATCTTTATTATGGATAACATTGGTCGTGAAAGCCGACGTGTTAAACAGCACTAAGGAAGTACGCAAATTTTATTTTGCTTTCCGTTTCATCACCAAATTTGCACTCGTTATTCAAAGTAATATCGTTACACTGAAAGCAAAAAATTTGCATGGAACAATGAGAAACATTTATGAAACTGGTTTGACAAACGTACACAGTTCTGCTCTTTCCCACAGCATCGGGAGACTTGGCATCGCCAAGTTCGAAAAGAGCAGCATTAAAAATGTAAAGCTCCACATCATATTTTCACGATAAGAGATGGAGGTTTTAACATGCAGGATAACCGACTAGACTTCTAGACCACCTATTCACCAGTGGGTTTAAGAGTTACTTCTGCCAGATTTTTATTGGTCCGCCTGGCGGATGAAGTGGAGTAAATCCATATCTGGGGTCTGGACGTGCAGTAGTAACTCATGGTACTGATTTTATGACAGCTTAACCAATGCCTGAGGCGTGACAGTTGTGTGTGCACTCGTGCATCTCCGACATGACGTCGGGCGTGCACCCTGATACAAGTACACATTCTCCACTTTTCTGTCATTCTGCGCGGCGTTCCGACGTCTCACGGAAGAACCGTCTTTGTTGGCATCATTATTGACAGACACATCCCTTTAGGAAAAAATCTGCTCCAGAAACAATAAGAGACACATGACGGACTAATGCTATAAATAACACTCTGGAGGAATTGTCGTTGTGTGTGCTCGGCGAGAGATGTGCAGGTCACCTTGACAGATTCCTGGAACAACTTAATTTAAAATGTCGTACTTTTTTTTTATAGTTCCATATAGTGGGTATTTTTTTACATCGACCTAAAATGTGTTTCACGAAACTTTCACCATCAATCACTGCACTGCGCATGTAATTACTGGTATTCACACTTACACCATAACGCTGCCTAGATGCGGAGTTAGTTTTAGTTTTTTTTCCCCAAAAGTGGGTGCCAATTATATTCTGCACAGATCCAACTTCATAATTAAACCGGTGCACGAACAAACATTTCACGTTGTGTTTTTTTTGCTAACACAGTTTACAATCGGTTCAGGGATAACAGCTTAGTCAATGCATGAGGGGTGACAGCAAAAAGCAATTTTAATACCGCTTTTTTTGTTTGCTGCCCTTCTCCTGCACCTCCGATTACCAAGGTTGGCTGCGTACCGTGCGAAAGAAGTTCAACATACATACACAACAGTCAACGGTAATTTTACACCAGGAGCAAGGGACATGACAAAAGTGATTGTACCGGTGCCGGCTGCTCGTGGTGGAACCCAAACGGGGCCTCGTCCCGGACGGGCTCAGACGAGCGGCTCACGGCGGACGGCATGCCCGCGACAGGCATGCCCAACACCGGCTCTGTGTCCGTCTCGTTCATGGTCTCGTCGAGTTCCTGGTCGGTGTAGATGCCACCCTCCGTGTCGGTGTCCTCGCAGTCGCTGGTGACGCGGCTGTCGCTGTAGAGCGACAGCTCGCTGAGCGGCGCCGACAGGTGCGAGATGCGGTCGTCCTGCATGTCCAGGTCGTCCGTGTCGCCGTCCGCCTGTCCGGGGAGGAAACTTCAACGTTAATGCTGAGTGAGGCCATCGTCACGATCGTCATAAATTAATCAGCTGCGTCACAGTCCTTATATATAATTAACAACTTTCAGTATTGTCTTCAACATAACCGTCATCATTACCACGCTCATCGTCAACACCGTCAAGAGTCATCCCTATCCTCAATAGTATCAATACATTCTTAAGAACACAAGTGAATGCAAACTAAAACATAATTGTGAATATAATACCAAATAATGCACTCAAAAGCACTCCGTTAAGTCACTGAGTGAAATAGAATACATTACTAAACCAAAACAATCAACACCATGGCCCAAGCAATGACTTCATAAAATAATACCTTTTTCTTGTTATTACAAAGTACTTTGGCCGAATAGATTGCACTTGTTAATCGTGCCTTGGGGTGGAGCCATGGTTCGCACACTACACTATGAACTCGGTGACCCGAGTTAAATTCTAAGCCACGGCTAACATCAGTGGCAAGAGATGTGTGGATAACAAAAATCGCCATAACCAACATGCAGTGGAGAGTGCTTCATTGAGCAGTGGAATAACAGAGGGTTGTAATCCTATTACTTAATTATTATTAATCTGTTTTGATTTCCAGATAACCTCATACTGTGTAAACATTTTAATTTCTGGCCACAATTTATCGGATATTACACTACCAAACACAGTACAAAATCTAGAGCCAGTGATTGAGAGAAGTATTATTATAACCTTAAAAACATTTGCTTTCAACTAGTGTGCATTTTACCCGATCACTCAACATAACCTGTCCTATGTGTGGCGATTAGGAAGTGAGCGTAACGTGTTATATGTTAAGTAAACGGAAATGTAATGTTCCACAAATGGAAACTATCCTGGGCTAAACACTTATGAGAGAACTTGATGGCTCATCGGATTCTTCCATAAATATCTGTGTCTATGATTTTATGGACCTCACACTCCTTGGAAATGTATCATGTTGATGAGGTATTGGGAACCAATGGATAAGTGTCAGCGTGCGTCTTACCCTGCCCTCAGAGACCCACACCAGCTGGTTTTGCTGTTCTGCAACAGAGTCCTTCAGAGCCCCATACCATCCCTCATTCATGGAGTTTAAGTTGATCACAGCTGAAACAATAGAGGGGGAATTAAAGAAATTAGTGGTAATAGCAGTAATCAGGAATACTCGATATGCTAATTCTCTTCCTTGTATCACGAAACAGCCATGGAAAAATCAGGGTTTGTTAAACTGCAGAAAAAAAATATTGACTCAATCATAGAATATTTATTCTGGAACAATGCACAGAAGCATCCGCTTAAAAAAACTCTGGACTGATTTCACCGAGCCATCGGCATGGCGTGGCCAGTTTGCATCACATATCTTACAGCTTAACAGTATTGTATATCCGGTCACGGTTACAAGTGGCAAGTTGTATTTCTACTTGTTCAAAGTCCTCCCTGCCGTAAATGAGTGACTGGTGCATTTATGCAAAAACATCAGCACTTAGCAGGCAAAGGTAAGCCAGGAATGGCGCTGGCCGCACAATTATTGAATAAACCACTCATTTACAGTGGTTGTCACATAATGTACTGATATTGGCCATTTTTTAATTTGAACCACTTAAGTTATGCCTACCCTCAGGTGGTAACGACAAGTGAAACATCTGCTCTGGGCTCATGAACTAACCACATGTGACCTGACGATCAACCAACTGTGATGTATACACTTGTAATGGGTAGAAAAAATACTTTCGAATTGTTGCAACTGCCACGGTAGCTGGCTAACCATTACAACATGACAGCATTCCAGCCAGTCTTAATAGCTGCTCAACAAACATAATTATTGGGGTGGTGGGAGGTTGTGCAATCTGTGTCTTTGGCCATTAAGTGCGTGTGCGGAAGTCCACACGTGCACGTGACAAAGTGGCGTACATGTGAAGAGGTGCCAGTTGCTCTTGCGCAGCTTGGCGGCGCGCTCGTGGAGCTTGCGAGCACTCTTGCGCGACTCGGGGCACAGGCGCGTGCGCATGGTCTTCACGCCGCTCTTGCTGTCCGGGTTGAGGAACAGCACGATGGGATACCACTGCGCGTAGTTGAGGCGGTCCACCGCACCCGGTGTGATGTCCAGCAGCGCGTGCTTATCCTGAAAACAGCACCAGCGTATGTCAAGCGACTAAATTCATATCCACAGCAGGCAACGGGGACAAAAGTACTCCACCATTTAATATGCAAACGAGTGCAACCATTCAATAAGTAATCAGCAAGACATCACAATTCCTATACTGCCAGTGCATTGTTAGTTTTCTCGCCCATTTTCTCAAAAAGTGTCTGGAGTTTCTACGTGGCCTCATTGCGAAAAAAAGCAGGAGTGTTTTGAGACATTTAGTGAGTGTCGTGCTGGACTTAATACGCATGATGAATCATTGCAGCCAGCATCAGACCTGAAAGGTTCTGTCTCCCATGTAATGATTTTACCATCTGCTACTGGTGGGGTAAATGGCCAAGGATTTACAATTACAGATTGTATTCTGAGAGTGCATTAAGCACTTTACTCCCAGTACATTAATAGTTGTATTTATTTATTTCCTCCCCATTTTGCATTAAAGCCACTCACTTTATCAATGATCTCTTTGATGGTGTGCAGTCGGATCACTCCGGAGTTCTTTGTATCAGTTCCTGCATCCCTTGGTTCATTTCCTGCAAAGCACACATCATTGGACACACACATAAAACAAAGTCTACATTGATGTGTATATTTTAGTTTTGTTTTATTCATGATATGGCAGGCCTCTGCTGGATGAAGTCATCTCTACACTGTGCCAGTAATGGAGGTTGTTTGACCATACTTAAAAACACCAATCAGTGCAATTTAATGAAAGTGGGGGGACAAGGCTGGTTTGCACATCACTTGCCACTTATGTTAGCATGGCTGGGAATTGAACTAAGGTCGCTGGGTTCACAGTGCAGTGCAATAACCACTGTGCCACTGCTCCACCCTTGTTTTGTGTAAATGCAGCTTTTTCCCGGAGGCAATATTTTGGTATAAATATATACATACACTTGACAAAATATATGTTAAACATAGCTAGTTGAATATGAATACACAAACTTCACAAGTTTTACGTGAGAAAGAATAAAACGGTTTTCTTACGTGCAATTTCAAAGCTGTTGGGTTGCTCCCTGGCCAACTTGTCTCTTGCAACGTCGGCAATGGGTCCAAAAATCACCACAGGTCTCAGAAAGCCAGCTGTTGGAAAGACAATCAAAATGCTCGTGTTTGCACCAAGACAAATATGATGTAAAGGGTAACAATGGGAAGGCGAGAGAACAAACAGCTATCAATTTTCTAAAAATGCCAGGATAATACCAACAAGTTTATCTTTGTTCAAACAGTTGGCCGACACCAACAATGACACAGAGTAATGGCGAGTCAATAAAGTGACAAACTAAAGGAAACCGTTTGGGAAAATAATACGTTTTTGAACGAATGCGAAAGCATCAATTCTATCCTGTGTCAATCATCAAGAATGGCCCACCATCCATGTAGTCTCCAAGCTGAGCATCTCCAGTAAATGGGCAATGATGTTTCAAAACTTCGTGCAAGTCATATGCATTCAGGCATATGCATATTAGTACAGTATATGTAAAAAGGAGTCAGAAAAACAAGTTTTATATTTGTTTTCAAATTTGACAAATTAGCATACAAAAAGACAATGTTAAATTGATAAGACTTGTCCCACCATTAATGTTGAATTTCCACCACTGACAGACGAGTGCCGCCCAACACCCATTTGAGCCGAGAGATAATTTTACTTGACATGGGGTTGTGGCTTGTTTGTCTTTTATCCATAATGGTGCATCTCACAGAGCAGTGCCACCTGTGTGTTAAAGGAAGCCCCGTGGAAGCGGGTATGGCAACTACTTTTAAGGTTTCCTTCTGGTGACCACCTGGCACGCTACACACAGGGTAACACGTTCAACGCATGACAGATTTTAAATTCTCAAAAGTACGAATTTAACCAAATAAAGTGCAGAACAAATGCACTTGTTAATTTGCAGTTGTTGATAACCAGGCTGAGAACATCACCTCACTGCACTTTGAGAAAACTGGTTAATCACGTGCTGCTTGCCTGGATTTAAACGCAGGATTTTCAGAAGTGCCAGCACAGCGCTCTGACCTCCAAGGCACCCGCCCGCCCACCCACCCGGCCACCTCACCCCACCGGGATATGTTAAGTCGTTAAGGTTGCAAGATTGCAGAGCAGCCCGTCACTCACTCACCCTCGCGGAGCACAACCCGCTCGTAGGCAGGGAACTTCGTGGGCACAGGCTGCGCAGACAAATCCTCGCGGCTCTTGCGCAGGTTCTTTTTGGCTGAGCGGAGGCCGCGGAATCGCCAGAAATCAGCTCTGTCGTTGGTCCCAACTTTGGCGAAGTTCTGGACAGTCGCTAACTGTTCCGCCCTGTAAAATAAGTGAACATTAACAATACATGTATTGATTTATGCAAATATCGGCAATGGCAGTCGAGAATACATGATTCACATGAGATGTTTGTAGTACATTATAACAATTCACAAACTTCAAAGCAAAAGTAAAAAAAGCCTTAAACTGCCAAGAGAATGAATATTTGATCTATTAGGTGTTTTTATTTTATAAGTTTAACGCGTTTTTACTTTCCGTTTATGCAATTAACATTTTTTTAAATTCACCTCCAAGAGACCAAACTATAAACAAAGTGAAAAACGTTGCAAGACTGCAATATATGTATAAAGTGAACATGATCAAAACAAATAACAAATCGTCTAATCTAATTTCACTGTGCATTTACCACCACCATTTTCAAAAGCAATTTGTGCACGCAAACCGAAACGGGCAACATTTATCAACCACAATTGCCAATTACGGAATGCCACATTCCACAGATGATTAATGTCTGAGCGAGCAGTACACCTCCAGCATAAACGAGAGGATTGCATTTATTATATTCATGTAGACTGACCAGTGCAGCTAAAACTGAATACATTACGTAAAAACTGTGAAACTCACTTGTGGTTACTCCACTCTGGGCAGTCCTCTCGAATCACTCAAATGAAGTGACTGGCAGGCGCTGAGGCATGTTTTATAACCCATAGTTTCACAGCCTATTTTCACTATTTCTCTGCAGTTAAATGACACCCAGATTTGAAGTACATACATTGCCTCTTTGGCAGCGTGAATTTAAATCTGTCACATAACAGGGCATGGTGGCACACTTGTATTCCAGTCTTTTTCGAGGTGGGGTTTTTGTTCAGCATCTTCGGTCTGTCTTGCAGAACGACAACCCATTAAGCACCTGCAACAAACTGTCTCTACAGTTCCATATCCACGGTGGACGCCTTCAAACGTGTTCCCACTTTTGCGCTGCCATTCTGTTATTGGTCTCAAACACCGACCATCTTCCCTTTTGGCAAAGCGTTTTGCCCAAGCCCAATTACTATTTTTCTTAGCAGTGTATATGTTTCTAACTTGTGCATGTTCTCTAATCCATGTGTTGGAAGATCACACTGAGGCTATTGTGTGCAGGAAACACCCACCAGCCTCTAGAAGTCAGTACAAAAACTACATTGTTGATATCCATGTGGATTCTTAGAGTCTTATCTCCTGGTATGCACAGCTATGTTTCCAAACACTCAAACATGCAAAAAAAACGAAAGGCATTTTAAAAAACCTAAGCAAGTATCTCAAGTATCTGATAAACAGCCTTTAGACTCACTTGAGACTTGTTTCGGTATACACAGTAGAAGGAATTGGTTGGCACACTTTAAATTACTGAAGGTGGAGTGATGCAACAGTATATGCCGCACAGCGTTCAATGTGAAGGTTGCGAGTTCAAATCGCAGTCTAGGGATCACTTGGGTTTTCATCCCTCTGAGATGAATCAAAGAAGTACCCCCTCCCCTTTGGGAGGGAATTCAACAGTAGTGTCCAATGGAAAGATTTGCTGTTACCATAGGCATGTGGAATGTCCATAATGCTTGCAGGGCTTTAAAAAGGAAACAAAGTGTTCTGTTGGCCCATGCTCAATTGAGCAGGGCACCAATGTGTTTTTTTACTTAGATGCTGCCATAGTGTAATGGTTAGCACATTGGACTTGCAATCGAGTGGCCCACAAGTTCAATTTACATCTCTCGGCACCAGTTGAAACTATGGGACACTTTTCTTAAATCCACTCCCTCACCCCACCCGTCTCTGTCCACCCAACAATGTAAATGGGCTGCATGCGAGTGCCGACTCCGACCCTTGCCCAGAGCAGCGCAGTACCTGTTCTTGTTGGGAATGATGCCGCGCTCCACCTCCTGGTTGTTGCGGCCGATGCGGATGGCGAGCCACGAGCCCAGCTTGCCGTTGTAGAGCGTGTCGACAACGCGGAAAACCTCGCCGCGCAGGAAGCTCAGGCCATAGGGATTCTCCTTCTCGTAGTCAAAGTGCGTGCGGATGTAGAACGAGTCGCCCACGTCCGATTCCACGACCCGGCGGTAGACTGTGGCCAAAGAGGGAAGGGGGGGGGGGGGCAAGGGGCAAACACGAAGCATGGTAGAATTCATGGAAATGCCACATGAGAACCATGCAACGCAGTGGGCTGCCAGTGTCCCAGGCATTAATCCCCAACAAGAAATACATAAAATCAGGCACAATAAAGAAAACAAGGTCTTCTTGACAATCTTAGAAGACTGCAGGGCCAAAAAAAGCCTTCTACTAAGCCTTTATTTATATTTCCGGTACTTTATGTATAGTCGGGCGCCAAACCTTGCCGCCTTTCGACGCCAACACCACTAGAATACGAGGTGAAAGTGCTAATGGCAGATATTATTGGACCGAGGTGATGCCCTCATTAAACAGAGAAAAATCTATTTTTTGTTTTATGTCTGCTGTAAATTATGGAGCTGATCAAAGCTCAACCAAAGAGTCGTTAAAATATATTCAGGTCGGAGAGGTAATATAACAATTCCCATGGCAGAAGTGATCCATCGAGTGTGACGATTTTTCCCCACTCACCATCTCTCTTCCTCTGGGCATGCACCAGCACCTCCTCCCCCTTGGGCAGCTCCAGGAGGTAAAGTACTGCCTCCTCTCGCACAATGTTTCTGAAGTCCACATTATTCACCTGAAATAATAAACAATTCAAAGGTCAAAGATCACAGCACCCAGGTGGCGTCACAGAGATACTGGGTTTGAGTCCAGAGTCCAGCCATTCACAATATGACCTATGACCAATTTACTCTGAATGCAACCGATTTGTCAGATGGATAAAGCTAAGCTGGGTTGAGCCCAGATAACAGGATCGAGTACTTTGATGGGAATACCATGTACTGTTGATTTGGGCTGCAAGGTGGCCAAGAAAATGGCAATACAGCAGTGCAGCAATGGATTATTTAAACTATCTGTTGAGCTTTGAGAGTTACCACTTCATATCTGTGGGTATTCCTCAGGTAGTCCACTTTCCTAAAAACATGCCAAACACTCACTGATGAAAATAGCCAATCATCTCAATGCAGGACCCTCCTGAAAAATTCCTGAGACTCCACGAGTTTTTTTGGGTAAATAAAGAGCATTGTTATCATTATCTTGAAAACTGTTTTCAAATCTAGCCAACTCGTAGACTCAGCCCAGCCTTTAATAACAGCACAAACTAAACATCACATTCAATCTGGTCTGGCACTCTGCATTGATAATTCCAGCTCCGAGCAGAAAAGCATGAGTTTGATTTGACATATCAAAAATGCTTGGCAGAAGATAAATAAGTGTCACCTCCTGTTGGTTGAGAGAGACCAATTTAAGTCAGCTTAGAAGTAGTTCTATATCATATTACAGGGGCCGTTCCCTCGGAGAGCATTATGGGTTACCGCAATAACATGTGAAGGAATGTTCAGTTGTTTAATGTTTTCCCCATATGCACACGTTTTATAGAATTTCAAGGTCACGGTTAAGCTTCAAGGGTTTTTTTTTTACAGAAGGAGGGAAAGCGCGAGCAACTCACGCTGAGGATCTGGTCTCCCTCGTCGAGCCCCTGCTGGGCAGCGGGGCTGCCATCCTGCACGCCCGCCACAAATATCCCGACGTCGTTGCCACCAGCGAGACGCAGGCCCACGCTGTCCCCCTTCTTAAACTGCACCAGCTTCACCTCCGGGCTACGCACAACGACAACAACACGACATGCGTCAAAGAACAGAGTCGTCCATCGCACATCTCAACCGGCGAGGATGGCACCTCATCTTCCACTCCTGGCTTTGGCCACTCGGATGCCACTTTCTGCCTAGTTTAATTTTATGTTTTATTTTTACATGTGCTTGGTAGTTTGTTAGTTACGACTGCAGACCACTGGTGTGTTGGAGAGTAAATCCACAACATTTACAATTTGAGTACGACATTTCGCTGTTAATTACATCCAGGATCATCGGGCGATTTTGCCAATTCTCACTGTGTCGGGTGGCGGCAGGGTAACGACACATTTATACTTACGCAATCGAACCCAAAAACTTTTATCACGTGGATAGTTTCTACGTAATTTGTTGGTTTCCTCTATATTATTTAACGTAAAGTTCCTGGTACAAATATCTGAATTTGCTCCTAAATATCATCATTGTCCTCTTTAACCTTCAGTTTCCCCTTTGTGTCCCCATTATTTAGACAGTAGTTAAATACAAATATTTAAATGAATGCTGAAAAATAACCCAAATATTAATTTATTTTCTTAAAGCCAAACATTTATTTTGAGCAGAGTGGCAATACTGTAAACGGACAAGCAGTGTTACTTCTCATCTACCGCTATGCTCTCATTGGAGAGGCTGTCAATATATGACAAGGTAGGTGTAAGATTACATATGCATTTATATTTACTTTTATCTGGAATAATATTTTTTGTAAAAGGTTATCTTTATTAGTTTTAATTTTAGTTATTTCAGTGCTGTAGCTGGAAAGTATACAACGAAGAAACGCACGCTTGGAATTAAAGACCACGGAGAGAGAAACAATTAAGAGAACATAACCAAGCTAGATGTCAAGCTGACCGTTCAAAATAGCGAACATGTCCAAGCTCGCCATGTCATGTAAACCGTTCAAAACAGAGAACTTGTCCAAGAAGACGTCCACCATAGAAATGTGCGAAAAATGTAACAACTTCCAGAGGGAGGACCTCCAAACAATATATTACTTATGGCCTATGAAGATGCAACAGCAGTTGAGCCGCACCTGAACAACTGATCATCGTCATTGGGCACTTCAGTAAGTCCAGGTGGAAGATCCACATCAGGCTGCCCTCCTTGGGAATAAACAGGCTTGACATCTGCAGGAAAAAAAGATTACTCTATTTGGAGTTGAACAAACAAGACAATCAAACAAGTAGAATATTAAGTGATTAAATGTGTAAGTTAATATTTGGCATCGGAGGCTTAATGGTAAACACCACAAGAAAACGTGTGCATTATTTAGAACTGAACTGGTTGTGCATCTTTAGCCATGCGAAATGCTTTAAAGCATGCACTGACGAATTAAAGCAAGAATGAATCACTTCACCATCTTGACCTTATAACAACACTACTATATGACTCGCCTGTATGGTATGTGTGCGGTATGTGCACAGTAGATGGGGGGTGGACCTAATGGGAAGCGTGCTAAAACCGCAAAACACTCAATTTAACTGAAGGCATCCAAGCAAGCACTCTCCAAATTCTACCCACGCCCATAACAAATCTCATTTTAAAAAAATTACACACCTTGCAACTGGGCTGCAAAACAATTCAGAGTATCATTGTTTGCGTAAATTATGGCAATTGGGGCACAGCACTTATCACCCACTCGGGTTTTTATGCCAAAATCCCAATCTGGGGGTCGTGGACTCTGCCCATCGTCCTTCTGGGATTGAAAAGAAGTGAGTAATCATTTGCGGGAAGCCAACCCGTGGGAGTTAAAGGGCGAGACAGATTACAACAACATGAATACAAAATTCCTAACACGGGCTTTGCAATGCCAACAGAAATGAGCACCTGTTTAACACGTAGGCTTTGACGACCAACATTATCCGTATAGTTTTTTGGTTTGATCGCGTATATATAATGTGTTGTTAAACCCACCACCACCCGAGAACCAATTAGTAAGGTTCGTCACGTAAACAAAACATGCCAATTCGTTACGGAGTACAGCACACTGGTGTGTTGGAGAGAAAATCCAGAAAACATTTACAATTTTAGTACAACGATTCGCCAGCGAATACAACTAGCATCATCAGGCGATGGCCAGATTTTGGGATAAATCCTCCTGTTTTGGAACTAAATATTCTATTACGGAAATAAACACCATCCAATGCTCAGAGATCACGGGGAAATACAAAACCGTTTTAAAATGAGTGCAAATATGTACGTAAAAATACGCATTTTCGTCTGTGTAACACACCAGGGACACGCAGGAAAAGAAGAAAAACGAGTTGGGGAGGGTGGGGTTGGCCACACTGGTGAGGTTGAGGGGTTAATTGGGCTGAGGTGCACGGGAGGGGCTGATGATCTCAGAAACACTGGGGTGTCAGGGACAGGAGCACCCACATCACGCAAGATCAGGGTGATGTTGTGAGGAGGGGGGGTGGATGGCATCATGGGACAAAAAAGGCAGTGAGGAAAGGGGAGGGGTGATTGATGACGTCACAACACTGGTGAGTTGAGCAGCATAGTTGACGTCATGATAGACTGGGGTGCGTTAGTGAGGGGTGACGTCACCAGACTCGAGTAGTTTATGATGTCAAGAGACGCCGGAGCAGTGAGCAGAAGGGGCGAGTTATGGCACATACCTGTCAACCCATACAGTTTACCTCGTATTCTTGTACAGGGATATTGAGTTCAGGTCCGTATGGCGTACAGCCGTTTCAATACGGGCAAAAGATGTGTGTCTATTTGTTTGTGTTTCTCCCTTGTGATGGGACTTTGTAGGATGAACGTTGAGATTTATAAAGGGCACGGGGTGACCAATAAGGTCTGAATTGGTCTGTAATAAGGTAGGGCACTGGTAAGGGGTTGACAGGTATGATGGCGTCGTGCAACATTGGCGACGTGCAGGAGAGGGAGCGATGGCAAAAACGTGCACATTCGCCATCCCCTTTTTAGTGCTCAAGTTCTGCTGGGGGGGGGGGGGGTCCCCCTTGCCCAACACGAATGACATTCAAACAAAATAATGGCGACAACTCACCAGACGATGGCGCTGCCTTCTCTGTGCTCTCCTCCGAACGCGTCGCCCTGGCTTCATCCACCGGCTTGAGGGCTGGCACGACACCATCGTCCATCTTGAAGGGGGTGGGAACGCCGCCCATCTTCGACAGCTTGCTCCCCACATCCGCACCCCTCGAGCTGCTTGGTCGAGGTTCGGGGGGGGGGGGGGAGGAAAGGAAGAGGCACCGCTCCAGCACCAGCACTTCAAACGCACTCCGTGTCAACCCACGCGGTTTACCCGCCCGTATTGTTGCAACAGGGAAATTGAGTTCAGGTTCATACGGCGTACATTTCAATACGGGCAAAACATTTTATTTTGTTTATTTGTTTGAGTTTCTCCCTTGTGATGGAACGTTGTAGGATGAACGTTGAGATTTATGAGGGCACATGGTGACCAATAAGGTCTGAATTTGTCCGTGATAAGGTAGGCACTGATAAGGGGTTGACAGGCGTGGTGTCAGAACGCATCGCACAGTTCCAGTGAGACTCTGTTACATTTAAAGCTGAAGAGATGCGCCTTTGACTGGGTTGTGAATAAGGGGATGGCGTTCCAGATGCATACCTGTCAACCCATATGGTCTACCCGCCCGTATTCTTGTACAGGGAGATTGAGTTTTCAAGTCCATACGGTATACAGCCGTTTCAATACGGGCAAAAAAAACGTGTCTTGTGTTTGTGTTTCTCCTTTGTGATGGGACTTTATAGGACGAATGTTGAGATTTCTCAAGGCACAGGGTGACCAATAAGGTCTGAATTGGTCTGTAATAAGGTGGGCACTGATAAGGGTTGACAGGTATGCAAACGGCACAGCCTACACAGGGGGAGTGGTGGTGGGGGGGCACCTGTCCTTGCACTTCAAACGCAGACCAATATTCCACTCACAATAATACCGAGCTTTAAGAAAGTGTGCGTACCAAGTGTGTGAACAGTTCACGTCCCAGATTACTGCGATTTCCGAACACAGTGCCGCACACTTGACATGGTGCTCCCTTCGATGCCATGTGCATATATACCCCCCTATTCAAATTATGTGTTAAGGCAAATCTGTAATTTTAGAGAGCGAAAACAATGTCTCACCCTTGTAATCAAAACAAAATTTAAAATCCATCTTTAATTGTCTTTTTAAATTTTCATTCGATTCCCAAAACGACTGTTCTAGGACATTGCAATTGTGGTTTCAGCCTCTGAATCAGTTTGTATGAAAAAATATTAATTCCGTGAAGAGTATAATTACTGAATTAGCTGTTCACAATCGTGTTTTGTAGTCGATGCAACTCAAATCAAAGTGTGAATCCAGAGCAAACCGCATTTTATTTCAATAAGCCCTGAATGCTGACGAAATCCAAATACCAATGCAGCAGTGCGCATTCCATGTTGGTTCATTCGTATGGAATGTGTGCGTGTGGGATGATAATGAGATGACAGAACACAGTCAGCAAAAGACAAAAAAAAGGCACACCATAGTCTAAACCCATTGTCTCAAGCGGTCATAAGGAACACAATACATTGCTACACGAATGGCAATTATATATGGGGGGGGGGGGGAAACATTCCCATGGTACAACAGACTCGGGAAAAAAATCCACAACTGAACAGTGATTTATAGGCAGCTGCTCTGAATCACCACAGTGAAATACTGAATCACCCCAGTGATCACCCCAGTGATTCAGTATTTCCTTCACCTTTCTTTACTTGCGGTCAAGTGTCCTTACTATTCGATGGAATGCACCACCCACCAATGCAGTTCTGTGATTTTTGTGTCTGTGGTGCAGCCCCCCCCCCCCGAATGACCCCCTAAAGGACTGCTCTAGGACACCTGCATATTTTAGCATAAATCAATTCACTAAACATACAAATGAGAAGCTATGCATCTAAGGAAATTGACACATCCACCAAGACGTATACATGTTACTTACTGTGCTCATCAAATATTTTCAAGGTTATGTAAAGGTGTGTGGTGCGTTTCGTAATTACAAGGCAGACAGTTGACACAACAAAAACCTTACTTTGCTGAATGGACTGTTAACTCAACCTGGAATGTGTACTGCACTATGGCCCTGTATCAGACATTCCTGTTTTTCTAAAAGATTAAAACGCTCCAGCCCAGCAGCCAGGAATTATCAACTGCACAAAGAATGATAGCCATAGTCGCAAATAATTAAATGTCATTGGTAGCGCGAATTTACACAGGCACCTTTTAGAATCTGTTACCTTTTTGAACGTAATACGTGTGCAGTACAACTATCATGTAACTTCACTTATTTGAAATAAAAAAAAACTTCAACTCTAGTATTGACTATTAAGCAAAGTCATCCACATTGCAATTTAAAATAAGGTAAATGCATAAACGCTGCACTTATCTTTTATTTCTAAAGGCTCCTATGACATGCCTTTCAATAACAGCATTCGAACTCTGCCAACTTGTACACACATTTAAACAAGAGGTTATTTGTTCAGTTGAACTCTGCTTAAGCAAACTTATTCCATTTCCTCCCATCCAAAGCTTTTTCAATTCGGTCAAACCTGGCACTACTTGTTTTGGCTAACAGCCTTTTCTAAGAAATCTTCAAAAAGGCGATTGGTTGGAAACATTGACTGCATCACATTATTCCCCTTCAATAGGATCAATTGCTTAATTAGAACCTTAACTTCCCATTGAAAATATGTCTCACGGGAGGCCGAGGGAAAATATGCAAGACACGTTCCGAAGCTAAAACTGACCACCTAAAAGAAAAATTTGCAACGTTGAATTTAAATAAAAGTGCCCATCCCACTGTACTGTCTGTATAGTCTTCCCTAATGAATCATGTCATCTATATAAAAGTGTATTAAGACAGTAGCAATAGCTTATGCTCTTCGAGAAATGCAGATTCTTACGGCAATGGCTGATTTAATATTGCATAACTAACCTTGGATCACAAACAAGGACATTGCCAAAGAAAATTTAATAAAACTGAAAAACTGGGCAGAGAAGCATGGAGAGGTACATGCTTGGAATTACACTGGGACACCGAAAGAGGAACACGTGGATTTGAGTACACAGGTAAGTTCAAAACATCATATTGCATGTTAAGAAATCCACGTGGGCTTTGGCAGAACATGTCGCTCGAGGGGATGATATCCGATGGTGGAGGCTAACGTCAAAATGCCAGCCGGAGGGAACACATCCAAGAGGTTGCCCCACCAAAAGAAATGGAGCATTGAGATCACAGCTCGTGTGCAGGTACTACGCGAATTGTAACATCACAAGACCGTGAGAGATGGTGACAGCCTTTATCTCGCAGTGGATTAATCCTGGCTTATGATGAATTACCCTTCACAGTAACCCCACAATCACAACTTGGCCATCAAACACGCACATGATAAGGCGACGTGTTCACATGAACATTTGCATACACAACCTTGAAAAGGGACCCCGATTGTGCACAACATGCAATATTTTCTTTGCCTGGCACAAGGCAAGCAAGTAAACATCTGACCCAGGGGATGCATGAATGAACTGTGACACTTTACCCCTGAAGCACACATTGAAGGTGATCGCTCACACCCACTGCCCACTATTTTTATATACATGGCCGTTGGGGTAAAATAAACCTTAATAAAGGACCAGCTGCAACATTTAAAAAGTTTGGATCTTTTTTTTTACCCATCACCATCCCCTCCAACCCCCCCCCCCCCCAAGACACACTTAACATTACTGAACCAACTCTAAAGAAACTGCAAATTATATGCGAACCAGTTTAAAAGGCAACGTAACGTGCTTTTCCACACTTTACACGAGCATTCATATGTTCTGTAAGAAACCTCAACGGTAGTGTTTCAAATGTGCACGGCAAAAAAGGGCCACACTATAAACATAGAGTCTATTTCATTTACCCTTGGGTACCATGCTAGAAAATAGGAGCTGAAGTGCAGTGCATGAGAGTTGACATGGCAAAGCATTGAGACGTTCACAGAAGAGTACTGTGGGCTAGACGAGAAGGGCTCGGTCACGGAGCCTCGAATTAGATTTGGGGTGCTGTATACCAGTCCCTTATCATAACTGTTCAAAAGGCTTTGCACACACACGGGTAATTCTTCTTGGTAGTCAGATCGCCCACAACTATGGTATGCATGCAATTAACATGCCCAAGGCCGGCAAATAGACAGCACAATCATTTCCTCTTTCAAGATTGCAAAATCCAAAACTTTAATTTGTATTCCAGCTATTCTGAATCCCCCAATGGATGAAGGTCACCCCCCATGCCATGTCAGTCATTGTTTTTTTTACCATATGATCAGTGGGTTGGCGAAGGGAGGATAGCAAGACCAGATTTGTTATCGCTGTGGATCAAACTCGAACTCGGGTAACTCGATCCATCATGCAGTGCACTAACCGGTGTACCACAACTTCAAAACTAGAATTACATTTTGTTAAATCGACAGTATGAAAATATCACTTATTTATTTTCAATAATAATAATCTGAAAATCTGTGTGAGCATAAAAAAAGTCATGACAATGCAAGTTGGCCATAACTTGGCAGCATCAATGCCAGACATGGAAGGCTTACAAAATTGTCTCTCCCTATGACTTGGCCAAGTAATGCTACCCCCCCCCCCATGCATTGTGTGGAGCTGGAGGCAGGTGAATAAATATTCACCGAACCCTAACTGCCAGAAGATAATAGCGAACTTGATCAGCAATAACGTGTGCATAATTGCGGAAAGAGATGTTTTTAAGGAAAAATGTGACTTCATGAGTAAAGAAAATAACAGCTTAACAGGGAACTACAATAAATACAAAAAAACCAAATAGTCAAATGGTCTCCCTGCTCTCACGAGCTACACGGCACCATTCATAGCTTTAAACCACATGGGGAAAATTCTACATGTCCACAGAATGACTAGTTGGAATGCCCACAACATGGTATTTAAGTAACGCCTACTGCCCTCTTTCCTCTAAAGATGATTTTAGCTCGACATTTTTCAAATGTAAGTCAAAGGAATTTAACCACAGCACCACATACATAAATATGCACTGTACCTAAAACAGAATTGACCATTAATAAAGTATGTGCGCCGTGGTGCAATGGTGAGCACACTCGACTTGCAATCTGGCACGGGAAACAATGGGCAGGTTTCTTAAATCGTCTTGTCTCACTACCCAACAAAAAATATGGGCGCACCGCATTTAGTCAATTGGCAGGGCATGTGCGGTGGGGTAAAGTGTTAGCACTCCCACCTCTTGTAAGACACCTGGCCAGTGTGGAATATTAGGGCAAATTACAGGTATTTTTTTGCTGTAACTCTAAGATGGCATCCATAATTGAGGGGCTTTCTTGAGCTCCCTATAGTGGAGGACCTTCCATATGCAGTGGCGTGAGCAAGTTTAAGGGCACGACTATACCATTTACCTGCACCCATTGATATACAACTCATGATGTGCTGTGGAGCATTATGGGTAAAAGAATATACAAGTTGAACTCTGCTCTATCTAAAAATATGAATCAAACGTATTGTTTAGTCCACAGCAATATTATCCAGCAGCGTTTGTTAAAGCAGAAAACAAATTAACAGGTTTAAACTTTCTGGGTATCATTAGCAGTCACGCTTATTAATAAAATGCTGCTGGGTGAAGAAACGTTATTTGGCGAGAGCACTCCGTCGAAGTGCTCGGTTGGACAGGTGAGAGTCTGTGGCAAGCACTTGCCCGACGGAGCTGGTGGGCTGGCTGGCGGAGCCACGGTCCGACTGCCCGGAGCCCCGGTCGTCGCGTGGGGAGCGCGGCCGTGGGCCGGAGCGAGCATTGTCACCATTGGAGCGGTCCGAACGGTCCGAGCGATCTGACTTGAGGGAGCGGATGTCCGAGATGTCTACAGAGAGCAGCAAGATCCACGGTCAGTTCGGTGGAAATGTTTTTGCGCGCAGGCTTCTCCACTCATCGAAGCTGGGGGAGAACCTCAATAAATATTCAGTTGGCAGTTACGAGGCAGTTAAAATGACTCGAATGGATATGTGCTCTTAAATGTGTTTTGCCGATAGCACCGAGGTTGGATGAAAAAAAATGAAATATGCATTTCACCTCATCAGCATTTTACTAAAAATAAACACTGCCGGCTTCATTATTTATAATACAGAAAATAGACGCTGTAACTAACAATTCGTGAAATATATTTGAGATGAATCATTGAATTACTGCAACTAGGGTGAAGCATTTGCTTTTCAACTATTTACAAGATGAAAGTGAGTTTCAGTGATTAGTAGCAAATCAAATGTTAGCTTGGTAATATCCTCATAGTAACTGTAGGCTTAAAAGTTCAGAGGTGTGAAGGTTAGGACACTCGTGAATCAAAGCCAGGCATTAAACATTGATTCGATATATTAAAGTTTGCAATGCATTCATGCACTGTCATGAGAAACTTAAATTCTATAGACAGATATTTACAACACCTGAGGTCACTAATTTGATAGATGCCGGCTCATAGCCTTAGGCCAAGACTGCTGATATTAAAGTCTGAGACTCGTTTAAGAGGCCCCTGAGGAAAGCTGAGACAATGACCCCTGCTCAAAATGATTCTTATCCGAGTAGGAAATGCACTACGATCTAAAGTAGAAAATCCACTTGCACACCACATAACTTAGCATTCCACGTATATATTGCTTATTTAACCAAGTAAAAAAAACTGCTCTGACACAACAAGTACGATAGAAAATTTAATTTCAAAAACATAGTTAACAAAAAAGAATGACAAGGCAAGGTGATATGCGTATATAACCGTTATCCAATATAACACTCGGTGTTTTGTTTCCAGTTAAAACAATTATATGACCTAAAGTTGGGAGAACTCAATCTTCCTGGAAATATTCCAAACGCACTTGCTGGTGCCTTTTTTGCCCCAGCTGATAATATAACAGGCCGTAAGCTTAGTCAGAGCATTCGTTATCAGCACGAGCAGGGCAGCACACAGGGAGTTCATATGAATTAGAGCAGTCACTCTTGACCTACAACATAGTTCAGCCTCTTGTCTACTTATCTAATGCATGCAAAAATAGAAAATAGTGCATCACCCATATATTACAATTGCCATTCCTCCACCACTTTATTTAAAAAAGACTAAATATATGGCTACACCATTTTAACCCGGCAGGTGAGACACAAACAGTCTGTAGATAACAAGACAGCAAGACTATTGAGAGCCAGTTACTTTTATATATACCCATTTTCTAAAATAAACTGCTTTAAAAACCACATGCAAAAAAATGACCAAAAAGGAATTGGCAAAACATCCCAAGCAAAACCGTCTTGTAAGCGTCTTGAGAACTCAGCTGAGACTCAAAACAGTCCGTGTCTTCCAGATCAAACGAGCAACGAGGTGGTGCTCATCTACCTTGGCGGCCCCCAGTCGGTGGTGGACATTTCATATTGCCATGGTTGGGGGAGGGGGGGGGGGGTCAGCCGCTCTCCATAGGACGACCACTGTTGACTTCCCACAGAGTGATAATCATGTTATTCATCCAAGAGGCAAGACAGGTTGGTTCCAGACTGCCAAAAGAGATTTGAACTCGCAAATCATCCGACAACGAGTAAAGCGCTTTAACCGCGTTTCCACCTGGAAAGATATTCTGTAATAGTTGAGGATTGTTGAGAAAATAAAGGACAATTTTTTTTTTTGACGGGCTGATTGAAAGACAAAGGCTCAATTACCACTGTGGTCAGAGCCGTCTGATGAAGGCGGGCTGTCATCCAATTCCGGCATGTTGGTGAGCGTCTTCCTCTCATCGCGCTGTACCACCAGTTTCAGCTTCCCCTTGGACTTTTCAATCAGCTTCCGAGCATCCGCCAACGACATGTTCTCAGTCACAGTGCCGTTTATCTGTCAACGAAGACAAGTTTCAGCAAGTGTCAGATGAAGCCCTTTGCCCTCTAGCACACATACACAACGCAGAGATTAAATTAAATGAGACAAGGCGGCTTGTGCTGATCTTGCGCTGCTAAAGGTTATGTGGATTTAACTATCTCTAGCTCATCCACACTGCAATTCCAGATTTTTTCATAATAACTCTACATAATGCAATTTTTTCAAGACACTGTGATACAATTATGTTCTAGAAATAAAACACTATTGTTTTTATACACCACCTTAATTTCTCTATTCTCAAACAGAAATATGCAAGTTCAAACACCAATAGGCATCGACTGTCCATCATACCTCCAGGGTGGATAAAATATACCACTTGTGATAAGTCAGAAGATTGTTGTTGGAAGAACACAATGGCCCTAGACAGTCAATTTTACTTACCGACGTAAACATTCTTTTAAATTCCAGTAAATAAGAAAAGACACGAAAGCAAAACAAAAATTTGTGAATTGAGGTGCTCTCGGCCCACCTTCAGTACAATGTCACCCTCTTGAATGTTGCCATCCCGGGCTGCCAGTCCATCGTTGCCAATGTCCTTCACATATATGTGGCTGCCCAGTCTCAATCCATAACCTACAACACAAAAAATAAACCACACCATGCACTTCGATTTGTAAAAAAAAAACATAAAACGTTACATTCAGCTACATAGAACTATATTAGATATGGCAATATAGTCCTCACACTTAATATAATACTAAAATACACCCACACCGACTATTAGACATTATCACCCAAGACATTTTCTCCTCTGTGTGATATATTACAATATTTTATTTATGTTAATTACCATATTGCACTAAGATTAATATTTTGCTAGATACACCAATGACATCAACAAAAATGCTGAATCAAATCAACTCACCACCTCTGCGATTAACACTCCATTATAACCAAAAAACACAATATACATTGTTATAACAGTGTTAATGATGAAATAGTTTTTTTTTAGATGGGTTTGTACACGACTTCAAGCACACTTCTAATTTTCATAGTTCACAGGCAAAAAAAAATTACACATGGACCAACATATACAAACACGAGATTCAGTCATAGACATGTCCGTAAGCAAATAAGGCACGAGTTAGAAACCTCAGGGACAGCACAAGAAATGGTTAATGTGGAACGAGCGTATCTACTGCCTTTGTGAAAATTGGGAGAACCTTGCAATAATATATTGTCCGATGACAAGCCTCAAGGTAACGGGACCGTGGGGGCTACATTTTGTACATTCGCGAGATGAATTCGTGGCACTTTGCAATTATGCACACACAAGCACACGTGCACATGGGATTCCATATGCAAGAGTACACTTATTCATTCGTACACGTGATAAATGTGCATGCAAATCTAAAAAGCAATTGCAATAAGACCAAAGCACCCACGTACTACCTATGCACTCACTCAATTATGGCGAGACACACCACCATAAATGAGATTGATTTAATTCCCGAATCTAAAAGCATGCACGAAACGAGCACCGAGATATGGCACTTGCAAGTGTGAGCATGGCCATGTGTGTCGCCGTTATTGAAAGCCGATGCGTCAACAGAGAACGTGCAGCCAAAATCGGATGACAAAAATACAGCACAAAAGGAGCCACACATTGGTTAAATCCACCACTGTTATCACTAATGTAACGTCCCCCCACCCTCACTGCGGGTCGGGCAAATCACTTGCGAGTCCAGATTTAATTATCGGCGTTAAAGGAGGCTCCCCTGACAACGGACGCCAGGGGCAAGAGAGATGGGGAAGATTTGCACGTCATCCGGGGCGAAGACTTATTTTTTAAATTATAATTAACGCAGTGGCGTCTCACCCTCAGAGGGCTTGCTCTTGACCAGCGTGACCTTGATGGGGCGTTGCGGGCGGACGGGCGAAGTCGAGTCCAGGGTCCCCATCGACTGACTGCGGCCCTGGTTCCAGATGCGTCCACGTGGCGCCGCGCGATCGCGATCCAGGCTGCGCTCCCTGCTCCGATCCACGCTGCGCTGCCGGCCACCGCCGCCGCCACCGCCGCCCCCCCCCCTGTCGAGGCTGCGCTCCCAACTGCGCCGATTGTCGCGGTCAACGCTGGGATCCCTGCTGCGTCTCCCGACCTGGTCGAGGCCGTACTCCCTGCTGCGGCGGCCCGAGCGGACGGGGCTACGGCCGCTCCTGTGGTTGCGGCGGTCGTCGTCGTCGTCAGGATGGAAGCCCACGTCCATGTCGTCGTCCTCGTCGTCGTCGTCGTCGTGGTGGCGCTGGTGGTCCAAGCGGTCGAGGTCGCGCCGTGGCTGCAGCTGCGGGTCCATCCGTCGCGAAATGGGGATCTGGACCAACTTCTTGCGACGCACCGTCTGACAAAAGTGAAACAGAACAAAATGGTGAAAATGCGATATATACGTGGAACAAAAAGTTGTATTTAAAAATCTTTAAGTTAATGTAGCGGATTGTGGGAAAATGTTTTTAATTATATAATTATTAACCGACTGCAATGTACCTCCTTACAAGCAGTTTTGGCTACTGTAAAAAGACTTTTATTACGACTTCAAAAGAATCGTCCATTTTTATTAACGTTAAAGTAAACGACTAAATATTCTTGCGAGGCAGCTCAGCGGGAAGTTCTTTGTTCTACAAAATTCCGTCTTTGCACAAGGAAACGACAAACTCCAGTGCTGCACGATTTAAGAACAAATTAGACAAAGGCAGGAAAGGTCCCTTCCCAAGTCCAGAGCTCCCCTGGTTGGTGGACTCTTGAAAAATAAATAACTGCTAAATTAATAAATTAACTTCGCAACATGAAAGAAAATGTACTCACAATCTGTGCAGTCTTTCCACTTTTCCTCAACTGCTGGACAGCAAATGCATGATCTACATTGTCCATTGACACTCCGTTCACCATGACCACTCTGTCATTCTCACTGTTCACAGAAACAAAATACAGACCCTGTAAGAATTCAACCACAACATATTTTTTTTCTGATCATTAAATGTTTTTATTTGTAGCCACATGTATTTCAGGTGTTTTGTTGACAGCATGAAACCATGCCAAGTCACCAAAACATCTGTACTACACACATACAAACATTCACATCCGGTCAGATGGCTTGGAAATAGGGTAAACAGTTCACAATTGGAAATTTGCAGATTAAAATCCTGGTTGGGGTGACGACTCAGCCCATCATCATCACACACTTTGCAGGGAAAGTCAACAGTGGCCTTTTTTATTGATAGACTCGCCCTAATGTGGTGCTCATCTTCCAGTTACAGCCCAGCAACTCAGGGTTGTAAAGAGAAGACCTCTACTCTTTATTTTAGCAGGAAATCACTTCAACTTTGAGTAATTCATAATCGATTGGTCGGGGCTATCATCTCTATGTGGTATTCCACACATCATCATATATCACTGTGCAAAATGTGAATACTACATTACCATACATGAATAATGCAGCAGATGCTTCCGTGATTTTAATAGCAAGTTAAACATTAAGACTGTACACGCTAACACAATATGAATAAAGAATGAATGCCCACGATTTAACTTTAGGTCTTCACGTTGTCCTTTTAATACCAGATGTTTCTGCTGGTGCAGGAAATTGTATCACAAGGTTGCACCGGCAGAACTAAAAGGAAGCTTTCCAAACTAGACTTGGTCCCCAGCTGCATAAGTAACAATGGCGGGATTTGTTTTCTTTATTTTATTCTTCATAAAGGGATGTTATACGCTTTACATTTAATAGGAAAAAGGGACTATCGCAAGGTTATTTAAATTGTAAAAACTGTGGTAAGGCGTAGTAATATAGTTTATGAAAATGTATGAGCCCATTTAACATTGTATTTGTTATTCTATTAAATGGATGTTGGGTTAAGAACTGATTGAATCTTGGGAGAATAATGGTTGATGGCAATTTTTCAACACAACATAAACAAGCATTGCCTAACAATCATTTTCAGATAATTATGAGCTTATAATTATTTTTAGCTTGTGCTATTAGAAAACACTTTCAGTTGAGAATCATGAACACATGAGGTTTTAAAGTAATCCTGTGAATATCACCATCAGTGTGTCGATTCAAATTAGCTTGGTGCAATGAATATCTGTTATTGCTTTCAGCTAGTGGTAGATATTTCATTCCTATCAGTACAACCAAAGCGGTCTTCGTTTTATCACCCCTGGGGGTCGATGCAGACTCCCGACCTGACTCATAAATCGCAACCTTTCCATCTCTGAGTCACGCACCCTTCTGCGATGTCAAACTAAGGCATTACTAATTACAGCATAAAAAAAACAAGACCTTCATTCACACTTTTATGCTCAAAGATTGGGTCAAGTGTTTTACGTATAGTCGCACTGGTGTTTGACAAAGCTTTCGCATTTATATCTCCCCAACGCTCAAAGCAAATTTCCATGAGTGGCTTTTCAGATGTTTGGCCAGTTCCTTTTTGAGTATTATTTTGCAGATGGGAGGAAACTGAAGCATGCAGAGCAAAGTAATACATGTCAAGAGTAGAATAAGGTCAACAGCTATTTGTATTCTGCTTCCTACAGGCACTTTGATGACCCCCGCAGGTAGGTTTCACGAGCCAATCCATTACACTCCACTTATAGGTTGTTGAACTATAGGCACGTGTCACCACACACAACTAAACAAAATGTGGAAATATAAGCATTGTTTGTCTAAAAGCAAACTGTTTTACTAAGAAACTTGGTCAGCATTCTGTAGATTATTTTTAAATTAAGTTTTTAGAGAATAGCAGTGCTTTAGATGGAAGTAGCTCCATCCTGTTATCAAGCATATGACTTTCATGGTGAGGCGTTTTGTCCTTACTCGAGCAGGCCATCTGCAGGGCTTCCTTGCAGAACATCCGAGATGACGATGGATGTCTCCCCACTCTGGAAATGAGGGTTGTCTTTCCCACCTGACACGGCAATCCCAAAGCCCATTCCTGGAGCCTAGGATGAGAGGACAATTACAAAACACAATGTTTGTCTTGAAAAATATTAATAAGCTCTAACGGTTCTGGCAATAAAACAGGTGTTAAGATGTTCAAACATCAAACAGATATGTTTTAAAGGACTCAAGTCTGCATGAACCACACGTACATGTGACAAAATATGCAAACAAACATGCTTTGATAATATATTCAAGTGCGGTTAATACCTATTTGGTGTTTGAATGTCTTAACACCTGTTTTCTTGACAGAAAGTGTAAAAACTATTCTTATTTTTCATACTGGCAAAAAGGTCCCAGAAATGAACGTTTCTCTTACCGAGTAGTGAAAGTAACAAACATTTTATCAACAGAATTTATATTTGTTAAAAAACTTTTTTTTGCGGGGTTTTCAACATCATAAATCAGACTATACGTTTAAACAGAGTGAAAAAGTATTTAAAATTAAATTTTATTGTCGACGTTACCATCCACGTAGCATATAAAACTATGAAAATCAATGTGTTATAAAATAGCGAATTTCCATTTTGTGTGGCATGAACTTACATTTTTGGCTGTTCAAAATAAAGTGTTTTGGTCACGGTATATAATAATTTAAGTCTTTTGTTACCTGAATGAGATAATTATTATAACCATTATGTCCCAACCGTTTACAAACAAAACATTGCCCCAAGGCTCTGGGAGTTCATCAGCCTCTGTAAACATTGACTCACCCTGTTCAGGTTCACGGTGTACTGTTCCCATATCTCGGTCTCCTCCATGCCTGGGCTCTATGATCAAGACACAACACCACATGGGCAAGCGAACGTTAAAACACAATTTTACCTCGAAAACATGTTCCACTTCACTTGAACACGCCCTGCAGTGTGGCAGATCTTGCCGATCGATCAAAAGGGACATTACAAGATTATAAAGCAGGCATCTAAAGAGTGCAAAACAAAAGATGACACAAAGCCTTTCTACCATCCCCCTCCATAATCTGAAGAAAAAAAATTAAGCCGAAAGATTAAGGAATTTCAGGGAAATGTTGATCCACATATGTAACGCTGCGGTGACGCACTATCACACAAATGCACATGACGCAGCTGAAGAATGTATCTACGTAGCTGTTTTCGCAATTGTATTCTTTACCCCACCTCTGTCATAGTTTAATCTATCTAAATTACACAGTTTAAGTGACTTCTGACATAATTCCACAGTAGTGTGTATTTTTAAACCTTGGTGGCAAATTATACATTCAGCACACTGGGATACAAATGACAAACGGACACAAAACTTGTTCATTATATCATGGATGTAGGAAACAAACCAGCTCAGAGTAGTGGGAGCACCAGCCGACTTAACAACTCAGAGCAGACAGCGAATCAGTGAAGAGGAAATGAGTAGTGCCCCTCCTTTCCTCCTAATTGATGGCTTAGTTGGGAGCGGGAACAGAGTCTGTGTGAGAGGGTCTGTCTTATTTTAACAAAGACAACGTCACCCCTCAGAAATGCTGCACGAGTGGCTTGTATTAGGTCAAACGCGTTCTCCCCCAACTCATGCCAGGTGCATTCATCAGGTGCACTAACTTTTACCGTGTGCTTACATACCACGAACCATCTGCATTATAGTGTATGAACCACATTTATTATTCATGCAGTATTTTATGGAAAACTATGTTTGCATTATAAATGAAGCACTACATATGAAAAACTACACCCCCATACACATTTTACGTGTGAATGTCCACAAAATTTAGGGAGTGCTACCGATGGATTCTATTATCTGTACATATAAAGAAACTCTTCATATCCTGTGATCATCCGTGGACATATAAAACGGAGAATGATGAATTTCACTCCATTCCATAACGTTCCTCATTTCCAGAACAGAAAAAAAAACGTTGGCATTAGGAAGCACACATCTGCAGATAATAGGATGTTTAACTTGTCAATTTGGAGCTGTCGTTAATAGGAATTGTAGGTAACAGAGTCATGGATGCAAGTTGATTTTCACCGTAGTATATATTTTCTAAGGTGGTAATAAAGGTTTGGGTGTGCCCACGCAGTGCCGACCACATACGACTCAGCAATCGACCGCACTGCATTTAAAAACAAAAACATAATGTACCATAATATGCAATTACAGTCCACAGTCACAGCAGCAATTATTGGTTAAAGAAAATAACTCCTTAATTATAAAAGCAACCGGACTCATTTAAAAAACATCACCATAATGCTTTATTTCTGGCCCTTTATAAATGGTCATTTTTTTTATATACATTCAGCCCACTACCATGTGTAAAGCTACTCATTACCAAGACATTTCAGAACATGCAGAATTGCTTGTACTTGATATATATCCTGGCACCTTGACCTCAAAAACTTTTAACGGAAACTTGGATTCGAATGTTGAGGAGAACCAATTAGAAACGTGTACGTGTACACACATTTCGCTCAGATTATTGCTGTCTGTAAGAGAATGATGGTTACTCTTTGGTTCTTTCGGTAAAGTCACGTCGGTAGAAATACAATAAAAAAAATAAGAATGCTGGTTGTCGGCGTGGCTAAAGGATAAGGAGGCAGCGAGGATATGACAAGATAGGCGAGGAATTCAGTGGGAGCGTGCAAGTGTGGTGGATAGTACGTACTGTTCTACGAACCCACGGCCTACGTTAGATTATGTACTGGACATCTTTGAAAAAAAGCTTCAGAGCTCAATGGCTCCCCTCCAGCATAAATAAATATTCTGAAAAATACTCCGATTTTGATTCTCGTCCACGGCCAATATCGTGGCAAATGTCCAAACAAGTTCTGGGCCTCCCTCTGGTCAACACAGCCTTAAATAAGAGTACCTGGTGAGGTGCACAACTATTCCAACTTTGGGAGACGTGTCGCCGGGCGTAGTATGGCCACACCACCCTCTCGTAAGGTCCTCGCCAATAGCACTTGCCCCAACAGCTTATGCAGACTACAAGTGATATTTAACTTCAAACTACGACTAAAAACACATCTCTATATGCTTGCCTACAACAATTAACTTACAACCACATGTTTTATGCACTGACAGGTGTGTTGGAGGATGGTGGTGGGAAAATAGTCTAAGAACTGTGTTTGTGCTTTTGAATTGCATTTTTTTTAAACAGATGTTATATTTTCTCGTATTATTGTATTATTTTATTCAAAGTAATAGCGCCATAGATGGCAGATTGTGCCATAAAGGCACCAGAGATTAATTTAAAGTGAAAATGTACTTTGCTTTGCACGTATGCGTGACTCAATTGGGATCATACTCATCGCCCCGTACCGGCAGGGACAGCTGCTATTGGAGGGTCCTTTGAAATTTTTTAATTGAGATGTGATATAAAGTGCCAAGATGCCCAGCGTACATAGGGCCCTGTATGTGTGAAAAACAATCTATTTTTGCGTGCTTTTTGTGTGCGCGCATGTTAAGTGCAACTGCTGGCCTATGCAATTGTCCACAACTGGTGGCGTGCGTACGAGGCCGCGTGCACCGCTCATTGGGGCGTGGATTATTGTGCAGCTGGGATTTCATCAGGAAGGCTTAGCGCTCAACTCCGCATGCAGCCTGGCGGTCACCATCCACCCAAACACTCCCCTGGACCTCTAAACCACCCCCCCTCCCTCACTCTCTCTACACATGCACGCTAACACACGTGCGCATACACATTTGCTCATGCACACGAGCATGCGTACACTTGAGCCGCTCATGCACACACCACTTATTCAGCTGCGATTCACTGCACATTGAGCACGATGTTATTCTATTGGTTATAAGCATCTCTGGCTGGAGGGCAGAGAGGAATTATTATAACGAGAGGGCCAGAAACCCCAGGGCTATTTATGTCAAGTCCATCAAAACTTGTCAACTTCAAAAAGTGACTGTCACAATGTCCCATGACATGGTACGATTGAGTGATCACCGCCCAGTGGTGCAAAGAACTGTTGTTAAACACAGTTGCACACTTGTGATTGTTTTGCCAATGTTGCTATTCATCATTATGTAAGCAACATTTCAGTAACGTTGCTTTAGGAATTCAACTGTGCAATGTAAGTCCCCTTGATGTCATCGTTACTCGTCAGTTACTAAGAGATGTGTACACCCTCAGCAGGCTGCGATCATGAATGAGCAAATTCCCGTCTATGGAAATAAGAAATTACATATCACATACTTCTTCATCATCAGGTCCGCAAGCACAGATTCCTTCACATCAATATGCTAAACTTCTGAAAATATCAATTGCATTTCCTTCTGGCACAGTTAATGCAGCAATAAATATTACTTTTCATCAAATCATAATTATAGGATACATTTTTATTTAAAGCTTTCGTGACTGCAGGGATTCATATTCTTGGTTCTTTCGGTAAAGTCACATAGAAGGGAAATAATAAAATATTAATATAAAACAATAAAAATTCTCACGACGTTTCGACTGCAACACAAGCAATCATCATACCTAAATTAATTCATATGTATGCATATATGATGTAAAATAATATATTTTTAACAAAGTGTCATCTTTTTTGGCAAAGCAACTACACGACAAAATAACTGTGATAGAATTATGTTCATTTTACAGCACAGAAAACACTGATATTTTTTCAAGCCATGTTTGCCATTTGGTCTTCCTGTCAGTACATCGTATTTCATAGAGCAGCATATCATTTGAGTAGACAACTTGGAAGCATTTTTGCCCCTGTGTCAGTGTTGTCTCCTGCAAAATTAAAAGCGGGCATTTTTTCTGTTTGATGTCAGCACAAAAAGTAAGTACATTTATTTTCACAAAATTCTTGCAGGAGCAATTTAAAAATCAAACAGCAATACATTTCAAACCTTCAAAAGTTATTAGATTTTGTATCTGATATCCACAACATTCTGTTCTTTCTCAACCACTCGTGTACGGTGGGTACTGGCACATGCAGTTGGATAAAGCCATAACATTTGTAATTTCCACTTCATTCAAAAATGTACTAAATAACGCAAACAATATATGGTGGTTCCCGGCACAAGATGACACATTTTTAAAACAAACATGCTTCCCAAAAAGTACAAGATATAGTACAATTAAATTCCTTTACATTATTTACATATAAATCCGTGCAGTTTATAGAAGCATTGAGACAAATACCTCAAGCTACTTACGATTCTCATCACACCCTTTACGGCTGTCAATGTTGCCACCCACTTTTTGATAGACTTCATCGCACACGATAGCAAAGAATGATGGATGCAGCCCCCAGAGTGCTCCCGAGCACGGGGCAGGAAATTAAAAAGGCAGGCCCCAACCATGAACAAGCCAGGGAGGGCTTTGCTGTGGCGGACTAGGCAGGGGGGGGGTTTGTGGCTCGGGCGAGGGAGGGAGAGACATGAGCACCCCTCAACTTGCATCAACTCACCCAGCAGATTATGCTCCGCAGCAAAAAGCTAAATAAATCACATTCCCAGCCAGTACCAGTTTTTTTACGCATATCCAGCATTCCTCAGCACCACTGCCATAAGCAGGTTCCACACATGTTGCCGCACGTGACAAGCATAGCGGGGAAAGGTCTCCAATTGTCCTTGCAGTCCCTTTCGCCAGCTAAACAGAGCTCTCTATGCAGATATTGTCACAGCAATACTGCACTGTATTGTATTGAAATCCACGACGCAAATGGTCAAATGTACCGTATTATAGTGGATTTGTACTCTTATAATGCCAAAAGTTTAAAATAACAGTCAGAGAACATTACACAAAGTTCGTCATTTTAAGATAATGTTTACAAGCGAGAGA